AAAGGATATCCCACGTGTTCCCCACTCTGAAAGTATACTTTATCAAAAAAGTACCCTAATAGAGGGTATAACACTACAACAAACTAGGCAATGGCATTAAAGACAAACACAATTCATACATTTAAAAGTAAATTGGAAGCTTTCCTGCTTAACATGTTCTACAATGTAAATGATTATTCAACTCACAACAATATTTCCCTTAAAAAATATAAATAAGAATTTCTTATCCCATTTGACTTTCTGTTTCATGTTAACTGTTTCGAGCTGAAGCGAAGAAAAAAGAACTGTCATATCGCATCCTGTGACGTAGAAGGAGAATGCCTAACAAAAAAATCTGTTTCTCTCTGGATTCGCTAGTCGCATTAGATGCTGCACTAGGATGTGCAGCAGGATATATACCCTCTGCTGCAGTAGGACTACGTGTACAAATTGAAAGAAAAAGAAAAGGAAAAACTGATCAAAATCTGCCTCCGCCTCCTCCTCCTCGCCATTTCAAGTTTTAAGCATAGAATGTACTAATATTGTTAAATTGTATGTAGTTGCTAACAGAATTGATATGTATTGTTTTAATATTATTATTATTATTATTATTATTATTATTATTATTATTATTATTATTATTATTATAAGTACAAGTATTAAAATGACAATAACATGTTGAAATGTTAAATTATCTCGTGTATGATATTCTAATCTATCTGTAGCAAGTATTCTAGTATAATCTCTAAGCCAATGACCCCGTCTCGATCAGGTTTTGTTCAGTTTCCCTGGTCCCTTGAGCAAATGCTGAGATGGCCCCTTGTTTTGTTCCTGAACAGTAATGTAACTTCGCTCTCTCCACCCAAACATCATATTGACTCGTCATACACGATTGTAATTGTATATGTGACTCAATAAATATTATTATTATTATTATTATTATTATTATTATTATTAAAATAGACCTATTTAGGTTTCATTGAATGCGACTAGTGAATCGCCGCGCGACAGATTTCATTTAATTTGCATCCGTATTAACGTATAAAGCTACATATCCATATTAACGTAAATAAAATACATTTGCAAAAACCTATGAACAGTATTGACTTGGAACTTATTGAACTTGGAGAACTTCAGGTAAATATGGAGAAAACCAAACTGTGAGTAATGCTACAGAAGCACAGTTCTTACTTTTGACTTCTCACATTTACATTCTTAAGTGTGCAAATACCGATTTTCAAATGAATGTGAGTAACAACATATTCTTATTACAATGTAACTAATACCTTATTCGCATGAACATACAAAACAATCGACTTTTAATGTTTATATAGATTCGCCTACAAAACGATAGATTAATTGCAGAAGTGGAAGTAGACACAATTAGATTGAATTTGTGGAGTTTTATTCTCTTCAAAAATTAGGGTACAAAATATGGAAGAGGCCGGTACGGATGGCCGAGATCGCTAAGTGTTGTAGTCATCTAGTGTCGCAGCGATCTCGGACCGAAGGATCGCTGGTTCGAGTCTCGCCTCGGGCCATGCTTGTATTGTGTTCCTCATAGTTACCATACCGTTACACGCAATAGTGGTCGCTAATGACCTAGTAGTTAATGCGACCTTAAATAAAATAATTGAAGTCTTAAGGAAATCCGTGGAAGAATCGAATGTAGTTGAAGATGATGTTGCGATAGAATTTTCGAAACTAATTGAGAATGATTTTATTAGAGAATAACGTTGAAGAGCAGCTTACAGATTTTTTATGTGCATTTTTGTGCATATAAGCAAATAAAAAACAAAAAAATTAGCTATACTAAATTCTAATCATTTGGCATCATTCGTTCCTGCAAGTATTTTTACGGCGTTTATATTTTTTGAAATTGCAATATTACCCGTTCATATCCCCTTGGGAGGTAACATACAATGCCATTGAGGGTTGTAAATTTTTGAACAGGAGTAAAACATTAGCTACTACGATTCATTGATATGTCCAATGCTAGACACTGTAAGAACTTAATTGAACAAAGCAATGGACGGCATAAATTTTCAACACATGAATATAGTTTTAAAACAGCTTACAGCGACGTCACGCCACAGTTAATTCTCACAAACCGCGCATTCGTGGTCAGTGTGGGCGAGATCTTCAAAGCGAAGGATTGCGGCCAGAGCCTCTCAGGGCTCCGTCGTCTCTTCTCTACTGTTCTCGCTGTATGTCAATGGCATCCCACATACATCACAAATACGGCTTTTCATTTACGCTAATGGCATAGCCGTCTTAATAAGGAGAGTAAACCTAGACCACAAAATACTTCAAAAACAGATGAACCTGTCACTGAAGTGGGCGGAAAAAAACCATCTGACTTTCTCAGCGGAAATGTCGCAGGCAATATGTTACATGGGCAACTTATTTAAGGGTCACATTTGAACGAAGGATGCGCTGGCATTTACATGTCAGGCGAATTCGATCAAAATTACAGCAAAAAGTTCGACTCTTACAACCTCTTGAGGGAACCTACATTTCCCTTGGAACTTCGCTTGGCACTCTTATAAAACGTATTGCCGGTTTGTGGCCACCTACGTTGGGGCAACGTGGTGGACCACAGCTCAAGAATACAATTGAGCTAGTACAGAACAAAGTTCCTCGGATCATATCACGCCCTCGGTTTCGGAAACGGTTGAAAAAAACTGAAGAACGAACTTGATATCAATGACAGCTTTCGTTTAGCAAAGCTTATCAAGCTTTCACTAAATCATTGAGAGGGCTCTCGTGTAGCGAAGAGAATGTTAATTCTCCATTAACATTATCTGTCATTTTAATGTCGCAGTCAGTTGTGAAGAGGACCGCCAGGTAACATCTCCGCGTACGTGCCCTCCCGTCATTACCCAGCGGCCAAATTTGGGAAGGATAGGGGAAAGGTTTAGAACACTTCACAGGGGTTGGACCAGCCCCTGTGAAGCGGCTAAACTCGTCTTGTTGGAACAAATTTCACATGAAATTGTCGGGGAATCGAACCCGGACCTTCCTGGCCAAAAGCGAGCGACTTCGCTCTGAGCCAGAGTCAGTTTTGTGCTACAAAATTAAAGCACATTTAAATTTTTACGTTCGACTTCTTATAGTTACGTCCTTTAGCGTGCAAATACCGATTTTCAAATAAATGTGACTCAAAACTTATTCTAATATAACTTAACACTTTATTCGCAAAAACACACAAAAAGTCATCTTTTAATGTTCACATATATTTGCCTACAAAAGGATTAATAGAAAAATTGCAGAAGAAAAAGTTCATACAAGTTAGACTGAGTTTGTATAGTTTTAATCTTTTCAAAAATTGTGGAGACAAAATTATGGAAGTGAAAAGCAAATGTGGGGAAGAATAAAATGTAGTTGTAGACGTTGGGACAGAATTTTCGGAACTAATTGGAATTGATCTTATTAGAGAAAACGTCAAAGAACAGCTTACGGGTGATATTTTATATGCAGTTTTTGTGTATATTAACAAAAAAGCGTACAAAATGGGAGCTGTACTAAATTCCAGCTATTCGCACCGTCCATACCTGACATACCCTAAATTGAATGTAATAATCTGAAAGCATATTTTATTGTAATGTACCATAGTTTATATCTGCAAATAACATACGTATGATATGATTAAATAAATGATTTCCATTACCATTTTAATATTTTAAATGCCGAAAAATAGGTGTTTCTCACATAAAAATCATGTTTTCCAGCATTACTTGTAATCTACGGAAGAGTAGACGGCAAACAGAAAACGTGAGGCTGTTGTCCATGTAAACAGATTTTCTTTAACGGATCTTTAAAAGAAGAAATTTGCCAACACTACGAAACGTACAGATTCAAAAAAGTCTCCGAGTAGAGTTTGTTATTACTCGCGCAAGTTTTCTTGAACGATGACCTTGATCTCCCTCCCTTGTGCAATAAACAGTTGAAGGCAAAAGCTCGCAGCGAGCACTGATGACAACCTTCCAAACATTAAATTTTCGTTGGCGCGAAACAGAAGCTGGTCAAAGCCAATTGCTTTCATAATGCAGAAAACCTGTTCAGGTTTATTGTCAATACCGAAAGAAATGGCTTAGTCAGGTCCAGGTCATTCAAGGGAGTCACTTAAAACTCCCGAAAAAAGTTAAGCACAAGATGCAGTTTTGACTTTAATTTCACGGACGTTGGCATTACTTAAAATACTCTAGTGGCCGACTTTGTAACTAATACCCTCACTCCACCCGAAATCGTCAATCCATTGTTCAAGAAAAGTTGCCCGAGTAATAGAGGCCAAAATCGAACATTTCTGTGATCCTCAATTCTAGCGTGAACATACAGTGTGACAGACACAAAAAACTGCGCGTTTACAATTTTTGAAAAAAATGAGAAAATGAAGTTATATGAATGATGAGTAAAACTCTTTATAATGTTATATTTTGTAAGTATTTTTTTCATTATAATGTAAGATAGTGAGTATAATGTGAGCTTTTGGGGACTGATAAGTTTGGTTCACTATATCCCAGGATGTCAACATTAAATAGTTCCTCCACAATGATTGTTTTTATTAATATATAGATATACAGAAAATACATTAACCGTAGGAACTAAAAATTTCAATATCTTTATTTGTCATTTAAAAAAATCAATAATTTTCGAATGTTTACTTCGTACAGTTTTCATTAGTTGCATTGCCCATTGTCTCCAAGTAGCTTGAAACAGTGTCATCAGTAAGGTCCTCCATTCTGAGTCCGCTACGCTCACCTGTTCGATTATGACTTTTTTTCAAGCTGCCTAGTGTCGGAGTTTGTAGCTATATATTCTTTTCCAGAAGGGAATTAATTTCCAGATCGTTGTATATTGTAACGAATGCATGATATATGTCTGATGCCAAGTTTACCCTGAGAAAAACCATGTTATCTCCACTGAATGTTTTCTGTTATATTATATGTTATTAGAGTAATTTCACTTCTCTGTTATTATAAAAGCGAATCTATTATTTTAATTATAATTTCGGTACCATTAATCCCCTCCATTGCGTAAAAGTGTTAAAAATATATTTCACTTGACGCACAAAAATCAGTGATGAATTAATATGAAGTTCCCGCAACTATTCTTTCTTACAGGTTAGCCAATTTGTATCATTAAAAATCTCGTCGATTTTCATTCCATAAGGTTTCCTATTGCGGTTGTGGCCGTGCTGCATGGGCGATTCGCTGGCTTTTTGGGATGTGAGGTTACGCTCATCCGACCATATGGCATAAAATTAGGTTAACTACGCTCTCCCGTACCTGACGGCCGTTTAACTTTCACGTCTCTCAGGGTTTTCGTAGTGTAGCGGGTGAATCGTGTCTGCGTACCAGTGCGGAAGTTCTGTTGTTTGTGGAATTGTGAACGTTGCGTTAAAACATTTTTCATATAGTACCAGTAGCCACATGGACTCTATCACAATGAACGAAGATAAGAAAGAAAAGTTAATTGATTTGATCAAGGTCCAAGGGGAGGTTGTGCGAAAATTAAAAGCTACACAAAGTAGTAAAGAGAAGGTTAGTTCACAAGTGTCAAATCCTTTTATCTGTCAAATGTTGAGTACAGAGTATTAGATTAAGTATTATAATCCTTTTTTTTTGCTGGTAATTTTAAAGTTTTCCCCCCGTCGTCTTATGTTTTTTAATTTACCTCAATTTATATTATCAATGAACAGGGTGTTTCCTTCATTGTTTGATTCACCATTCTACTATTTGTTTTTTATAATCTGCTTTGAGTCTCTCTATATTTTCTTAGGTTAAAACGAAACATTTAGGGAGAGAAAAAGACCTTCATGTGTTAAATGATTATCTCGCAAATGCTAGCTATTTAGGCGGTTATAGCCCTACACATGTTGACAGTGCAATGCTTGAAGCTCTGAATGGTCCCCCATGGCCTTGTAATGTACCTCATCTTGAACGATGGTATCATCATATGATGAGTTTCTCTGTGGCAGAACGTACGGCCTTGCCAGCTAGTGTACTGCCAACACGACTTGTTGCCTTATTTGCAACCAATAACCATATCAGTGATTTAGAGGAAAAGGTGAGCAGAATTGCAAGTGGATCTCAGATCGATATTTATCGAATCATTGGGTTCAATCTTTTGTGTAAGTGGGTAATATTTATAGTGAGAAAGCTTTAATAAACAGATGTAGGAGGCATGATTGTCGCACTGCTTAGTAGGCATTTAACTTGATCATGCATGGACCCTGCTTCCAATTCACTGTAGGTATTGAAAGTAGAAAGTTGCCAGAATGCAAGAAGAATTATAATTTTGTACAAATCAAATCTGCATTGCTTCATGAATAATAAAATAATTCATTGATAATATTTGGTTATTGCATGATTGATATTGGACGATTATGATTATTGTTTTATTGTGTATGTCAAAGCATAGTTCAGGTACAATTGTATAAATAATGTACAATTTAATTAAATTTTAAATCAGTATGAATCTTGTATGCACATGATCATTAGAACTTTAGACATGCTTAGGAAGATTTAATATAATTGAAGTAAACTAAACCTAGTTTGAATTACATTTCCCAAAGAGATCTATAAAATTCACTTTTTTTTTTTCAATATCATTTTTGTAATGTAGATGTTAAATAGCTGAAATACTTTCGTAATGTTATTACTTTTCAACTGAATGGACTGTTAGTCTGAAGAAATTGCTCTTAAAATGTTTTAAAACACTTCAGCATTTTCTGTAATTTTCAAATATTTTTGTTCGTGTTGCTAATATATTATGGACCGGAACTAATTTGGTGCAAAGATGTACAAAACAAGACAACAAAAACTGCTACAACAAGAGTGACAACATCAGTAGTTTAAAACTATTTTTCAAAATGGTAACAGAGACTATGGGAGCATTAGCTTTCTTAAATTTTCTTGAAAACAGTTGGCAAGCCTAAAGAGACTAGCAGCAACTTGAAAGAAACAGGAAGATGTATTTTTCAAAAGTAGTAGAAGGGCCTGTAGTAGATGAAATATTCACACTAGAATAATTAATGAGAAAAGAAAGGAACACTACATACTAGTATATAAATCTGGAATGTGAACTTTACAGACAAAGAGAATCTAGAATAACATCAGTAACAAAATTTTGATAAATCCTGAGGAACAAGAAAGAGATCTTTTAAAAATCTGAAAAATGAATTCCAGAATTCAGATTTAACAATCTAAAATTAAGATATAACATGTCAGATATGAATTAATATGGGAAGGATGCATTTTGTCAATACTCTTAGCCATTAATGGGACCAGATGTTCAAAGAAAGTTAATGGAAATTCTAGTGTAGTATCAAGATGAAACATGCAGGAATTGAATCTATTATAAGTAGATGTCGAAATGGTTTTAATATATTCAGGCGAAACTTTATTAAAATTAGCTAAGCCATTTGAATTAAACATAATTAGTGTTGTTTTGATTGGTAAAGAAAGGTAAAGGTCAGCACAAAATTGGTACAAATGCTTTTTCTAGGTAAGAAAGGTAAGAACACGTGTCAAAATTGTAATAGCAAACATGATGGTACAAATATTCATCTTCAGATGCCTTACACATTTGGTTGAATTAGACCAAAAAGCCTAGAGAAGATCCCAAAATAAAGCAAGGCAATAAAGTCAATTTGTTCATCAGAAGAGACAATCGTGTAAATTCACAACATTATATCATAGGTTTGAAATGTGAATAAGAAATATGAAGTTACTAAAGAAACGAATCCAGAAGCCGGGATTTAACCCAAATTATATTTTTAAGTGTGTTTGGAAATATAATATCAAGATATAATTTTCAAAATGAGAAAATAACAAAAGAACATCGTTATTATTTGTACAATTTCCATTTCTGAGTTTTTTTAAAAAATATACTTCATCATAGTGAAATGTTAGCTGACAAATTAGTGTCAGGCTTGCTTTAATATTTTATTTAAATAGTGTGTAAACACTATAAATCTTATCAGTGAAATTATTAAAAAATGCTCTGAAGAAGTTAGGGAAATTTGTTCCAGGAAATGAGTGGTCACTCGAAGTGAGTGCATTAATCAAGGTTATTAATGTTCATATAATCTGTTAAATATTTGTTTGCTCATATTTCGCTAGATGAGAAGGGAGAAATTGTTTTTCTCAATGTTATGGTTATTTGATGTTAGTATCATGGAGATAAATCTGAAGCATAGGTATTGATGTAAATAGATTTTATTACACTGAATGATTTTAATAATATAGCCACCTCATTTCTATCTTCTTATTTATAATTAAATTATGTTAACAAAGAGGAGGGGTTTCCAAAGTTAAAAAAAAAAATGCAAATAATACTAAAAAAGTTTTGAAGTTTTCAAAATTGTTGTTGTTATTTTCTGTTACAGTTTGTGCAATAAAGAAACCACTTAATTTTTTTTATTTTTATTTTACAATAGCCATTCTGCAGTTTTAAATAAATAGTTTGTTCAAGAGCGTTTTGTTGTGCTAGGGAGAATTAATGATTATTGGTTTTTACTCCATGGTTAATGAAGTTTTTGAAAGTCTTATTTCTTCCATCGTTTGTATTGGGAAACATGTACTGTGTGTGTGTGTGTGTGTGTGAAAAAATTCTTGATTTATTTTAGTATTTATATGTTAGATTAATTTTGGGGTGATCACTAGATTTCTCTGAAACAGTGACTCTAGTTCTGGTGAAATTTCCCTGCTAATAGTATTGATAGGAAAAGGTAACACGATGAACTGATGAAGAGGTGTTACGAAAAGGAAATCTCATTATCACTCATGGTTTGTCAGGAGATTGTTCGATTTTGCATTCTGTGAAAAAGGAAGAAAGAGATAATGTGTGTATTGGGCGAGTTTATAGTTTATAGTAGTGCCCAAATATTTCATTCATACAAAAATTTTAAATTTTCTGCAGAATTTATAAAGGAAACATGTTTATTCAATTACGAGTTTTTACAAACAGTGCAAGTAAATTTTCAGGTTACGAGAAATGAAAACCTTTTTGTATGGGAAAATTAAATTTATCCATTATTATATAAGACTTCATTTAAGAAATTAGTATTTTTAATCCTTATTTGTAAAATTTGTTCTTCAATTCAAGAAAATTACCATTGTGATAATTTTTAAAGAGATTGTGCACGTCATTTTTAACTAGAAGTCTCACAATTCAGATCAGTCAGGAAAATGTTGATACGTTACAGTGAGTGGTTTTAAGAAATCTGGTTTCTGAAGATGTTGATATTCTTCTGGATTTCACAGTAATTCATTTCATAATTTATATGGGTTATTGATAATGTAGCACATAAAATCATAATGTAAACGTAAGAGGTGTTTATCTCGAAGTCAAGACCAGAGATTTTAACAGGTTTGGCATTCAGAAAAATTAAGTCAAATACGTTTTGCAGTTACAAAGCAAGACTATCATTTAATGGAATTAAGCGTAATGAATGCGAATGCTAAAATGTAAATGATTTGTTTCAAACATAAATATGAAATATAAATGTACCATTGATTGTGCGTAATATAAATTTTTAGTAAAGCGTTGCTATGTCTCCGAGATCCATGAAGCACACTCGGAGAAACACTGCATGATCAACTATGATCTCAATCAATTCATTTGTATTTCTTCTAAAACCTTTAAGATGTCAAATAAATGGAGCTGAAACGCTTATTTTAGAATGTGGCTTCAAGGGAAAGTGAAGCATTGTTTTTTATAGGCTAATAGGTCTGTATCAGCGTATATCAAATCCTTCAGATACAAATATTGTTTTTGTTTTAAAAATACTAATTTTGTCTTTCGATCTGGAAGAATTATTTCATTGAAGTTAATTTTATCCTGTAATATATTAAAAAAGTAATGTAGTATCAAAATCTGGACATGTTGGAAGGTCCCCAATGGCTGGTAATGGCTTAAGTCACGTTTACCTCTCTTATTATAGACTGGGTGAAATGCCTGTAAAGGGAGACGTTCTGTAAAAAGAAACAAAGCATGACATGTAAAGAATACACATTTTTATTGCCCCTTCCCCCACTTCTTCAGTATGTTGAAGGAGTTTGGGGACATAGTTTAAAAGATTCACCTACTCTCCTGGCTTTCAAATGAACTCTCTATCAAGCCTCCTCCTACTCTGTAAGTAGAGGCTATGTAATTATCTGTCTAGTATGGGAGTCCCCTGCTCCACGGCAAGTTGTAGCAGGATATGGACCCTATATACAGATCGACCAGCTTGCCACCTTTCAAATATCCCCTCTATCACCATAGGTGATCTGGGTTCTTCCCAATTACTACCAAACATTAGTAGGCATGCATAGTCGTTTATATTTTAAGATTACTTTCATTTTAAGTGGTTTTGTATTGGAATTTAAAGAAAATCAATTATTTTTTTGCCCCATTATTGACATGCCTGCAGGATTAAAAGGTTGTTTAGTGTCCTTTTAAATTGTTTGATATCAACACTAAAGCACAAAGGATGTGGAAATCACCAATCTTTGAAATTATTTTGAGTCAACATTAATTTTCTCTAAAGCCTATGAATCTTGTTGCACATCATAAATATGTGTATTTTTGCCAGGAAATAAATACTGCTGAAACAATGTTAGGTTGGGGCTGCCTGCTGATGCATGTCGCATGTCTCTGTGTGTATGTTAATTTATTGACAATGGTCCTATTTTGCTCTTTCTTGGGGCCACATTAAAGACTCTTCGTTGCTGAGAGAAGACTGTTTGCTCCTCTTTCATACTTTCTTACTGCATTTCCTGTCTTCAACATTCAACATTTCTGCATTGCTGCTTTGTCATGTTCCACCAACGATGGATGCTGATCACTGGTTCCCGGCTCTTTTCGGCTCATCACTCGCAACTGATGCTTCTTCGCTGCGTTTCCAAAATTCCTCAAATTAAGGTACTGTTTTTAAGTAGCTTTCAGCGATGAACTGTACAACACAATTGCGCAGATAAACATGTAGGATTAAAAGAATAATTATGAAATTGAAGGTCTTGAGATTATGGTTTATGTTAACTATTGTTTTTTTAAATCGTTTCTGTATTTTTACTTTAGTTTTCATATGAATGGTTTCATTTATGTAGAAATGTTTTTGCAGATTGCAGAGGAAGTGAAAAAACTTCTTGATTTAAAAGCTCAGTTAGGTGATGAAGTTGTTCCTCAGAAATTTACCTTAAAGACACCAAAAGGCACCAGAGATTATGGACCTCAACAAACAGCCTTACGATCAAGTGTATTGGAAAAAATTATTGCAGTCTTTAAACGCCACGGAGCTGAGACAATTGATACACCAGTTTTTGAATTGAAGGTGAAATTTTGAATGTGCAGTGTAATATTTATTAAGATATTTTTGTTAATTAAAAAAAAAAAAAAGTTTCGACAAATGGTTAGCAAGGTGAGGTTTTGTCAGTATGTTTACTTATACAGAAAACATTAACTACTTGTTATGTACTTAAAAATTTAATATTATTAATGTTAAAAATAAAAAGACCTGATGCTATTGGCATTTTGGACCATTAACCTATAAATAATGGAATTGTTAGAAAATTAAAAGCTGTTTGAAATTTGTATTCTGTCAAGATCAATTCCAGAACAGGTCAGTTTATTCTCCAAAACGGAAAAGAATTGATATTCAGAAGAGCAAGTTCCTTCCAAAATTTCCAGCAGGTTAGAGAAACCTAATAAGATGTGAATGTGTTCCCTCTGGAAATTTGTTTCTGCAAACTTGTATACCCATGCTAGTGATCTTTGGAAAACTATTAGGATATCTGACATTCTGTAAAACCAATTACGATGAATATATTAAATGCTTTTTAAATATTGGAAAACATTTTGGTCACCTAAGACCTGCAACAGGCTAGCTGGAGAAATGTGGAAAACTGAATCAAGGCTTGTACCAACCTTCATGCACTTGAAAGTTTTTTGGTCATCCCTTCAGAGATCTCTTGGATTGGTTGGCAAGCAAGTTTCCTCGGACACATTTTTACTCCTGAATTAGCCTTCTGAAATTTACTGAAGTGCTACTGCTGGTAAACCCTAATCACAGTAGTAGAATTGTGTAAGGTTATAATATTATTCAAAAAAAGGTGCAGTAACCAACCAGTTTTTTTAGATTTGTATGTGCATTTTTTACTTTCCTGTATAAACAGAGTATTATTCATTGTATATGGAAAGTTATGTAATGCTGCGGAAAATTGATTTCGAAATTTCAATGGAAATACATGTTTTGGGGTTCCCTGATATCGAAAAAGTGTTTTTTCCCAAATTGAAGAAACCCCTGTCCATCTGGCTCGAGTCAAAGCTTTGAGAGTTTAAAAAAAAAATATTAAAATTTGGAGGTATGTAACATGAAACCCCTTGGACATTTTCAAAATTTTCTTGAACACTGCCCCCAATTTCTTTTTTAAATTTCTTGTAAGAATAGAGTAAAATACACTCACAAAGGTGGCATAGGTCCGATTTTCAGGTTCAACTCTGAATTTCCGAGAATTTCAAAATTTTCTGCCGATATTCCTACAATTGAAGATGGAGATTTTTCGTTCAAATAAAATTTGTTCTCTATTGTGAGTTCTTTCATTAAGGTCATGTGCATTGTAAAACAAATTTTGGTTGGTTTCGATCAGTATTGTGTGCAATATTTGAAAGTTTAAAAAGTTACAAAAAAAAAAAAAAGATTTTCTTAAAAACGGCTCCAATTTTTTCTGTAAACCTTTGGTAGGGATACTACTTAATTCACTCCATAAGATGACATAAACACCATATTACTGTATTCTTTTGCTCTGCTTCTTGCTACAAAAGTGTAATTTTTTTGACATTCTCACATCAATATTTACTTTAGCGGCAATTTCTTTACATTAATGTATTTATGAGCACGTGTACTTTCAATAATATCAGATTAAGTTTTTCAAATTCAAGTTTTCTGTGAAAATGGGCTCAAAATTCCGCATTTTCAAAAATATTCAAACTCCATTTTCTGGAAAATGTCTCCAAATTTTTTCTTCAAACTTTTTTAATGGGTGGTGCCAATTGCACTCTTTAATATGATGTAAAGTTCATATCTGGATATTTTTTGTTTTTTCAAAAATTACATAAATGTAATCTTTTTGAAAGATCACTCATGCTGTTAATATGCTCATTTCCTGCAATTTGTAAACACTATTGTATTTGTGATTTAAAGTCCTTCAAATGAAGTTTGTTGAAAACTCAATAGTTTTCTGTTATGAGGTTCAAATTTCAAATTCACAATAACAAGTTTAAATGCCATTTTCTTAAGATTGGCTCCAAATTTTTCAAAGAAAATTGCCATTTATGACAAGTTTTTGTTGTTCTTTAATATTCTTAAAATAAAATTTTCGTTCTCCCATTAGAATACTGAAGAATTCAGAAATTTAAAAAAAAAATGTACTTTGGGTGACAATAGATGGCATCTGGCAAGAGTATTGGACAAGTCAGAATAGCTGGCCGAGGCCAATGGAATTGGAAAACTATTAGGGGAAAGTCTGTGTCATTCTGTAGCACCACTAGTTTCTTTAATTGGAAAACAAGAAAAATGGAGGGTTGCAGAATAAGACAGATTTTATGTTAAAGTTGTATTCAAAATATTAAAATAGAATTTTTCCCCCAGATTTAAATTGATTTTCCCAGAGTACTTCATACAAATTAAAAAACCTATTTTTGAGCTTCTTATAAACACATCATTTTTAAAACCACACAATGGGTATGAATGTAGACCTTAACATTCTTGCAATTTTCTGTAGATAATAAGGACTTTTTGAGAATTTTTTCAGATGTTTACATCTGATGATAATCAACAAAAAATAAGGGAAAATATGTAAATACTATTATTTTCCTTCATTATTTAAGAATATCTTCTGTTCTGACACATCATAAAAAGGGTTACCTTTGAATTGTAGCACTGTAAATTCTTTAGTTTCCCAAAATTTTAACCTCTTGTCTTATAATTTTTCACCTGACAGCTCAATATGAATGAAACTGTAATTTAATAGTGCCTTATTTACTTTCTAAATGAGGATTTGTTTTATTAGTCTTTCTATTTAGTTTTTATTTTATGTTCATGAGGAAAGATAAACAATGAAAAACCAAATTGTAAGAAAAATTATAACCTATTATAATTTGAATATTGAAGGAATTAAGTTTTTAACTAAAAATAATGAGTTTGTATATTTTATTCAGAATACTTTCATTGCTTTGATTTGACACTTTATTTAATAACAATGCCAACTTTTCTTTCTCTGCTAAGCATATGTAGAAAGTGCTCTGAGAAATTATGTGATGTTTAATAAACAATTGCTTTGAAATTAAGTGTGTACCACAATTGCAATTTCCTTTCGGTATAAAAACTCTTATTGCTTAAAAAACAAATAAGTGCTTTGGAAGGAATACTAATTAGTTTGTTTGATGTACATGTTTGTTAATACATTGTTTGAAAAGCACAAGAAACAATATCTTTGTGTATCTTTTTTGAAAAGGCTATTTTCACTTAATATTTCTACATCTCCTTTAGACTGTACTTTGTAAGATGGATCATAGTCAGTTAATTGAGATGATGGTTCTGATATCGATAGAGATTCTGGCAGTACCCACAGGCATTTCTTCATCTTACAGCTTTCTGAATATTATAATAAGAAAGTACATTTTAAACACAAAATCAATGTAGAATCGCACAGCAAAATATCTGACGTGGCTGTGGATGGCAGTCTCTATGCATCTGGTTAGGTTAAGCATATGACATGTGTATTAAATATCGAACCAAAGGGGTTTATGGTAAATCTGTACAATGCGATGTAGAACCAAATGGCTTGCTCCCAAAATCTGCTGCCTTAATCAAAAGCATGGGTCACTGCATTTGATAGTAACTGTTCTTAACGAATGTTTTAATAATGTTACAAACAATATTTAGTATTATTTATAGCATTATTCTTTATAAACTTAAATTATTTTTGGTTAACACCTTAATTTTTTGAATATTCAAATACTTTTTCTAATAAACATAAAATGAAAACAAAATTTGAAAACCCATAAAAAGTAATAAAACAAAATCAAATTTAAAAAATATTTATATGACCTCTTAAATTAATTTTATTTACACAGAGTTAAAGGGAGCAAATTGTAATATAAAAGGTTTAAATTTTGAGAAACTGTACAGAATTTACAGGGCTACAATAATTAGCCATTTTTATGATTTGTGTCATAATTTTTTTGATCTATGAATGATCTGTTGAACATACGATATTCTTAAAATACAAAGGAAAAAAGTTAGTTTTCCCCCTATTTTTACCTTCTTTTTTGTTGATTAAATCAGATGTAAGTGCCTGAAAAAATTCCTGAAAAATCCTTATCATCTAATCTATCATCTTATTGAATATCGCATCTTACAGAGTATTTTTTCCTTATGACTGTTCCTTGTATCTCACTATGCATCTCTTTTGACTAGTCTGTTGAAGACCCAGAAAGAATTTCAGTGGACCAGAATGGTGTTTAATGAATTGGAATCGAGAATGATTGCTTGTAGTAGGGAATGTCTATGACATTTATCATTCATGGGTGATGATTTAGAGGCCATCTTGATCCCAAATTCCTTGTGGATGCTAACATTAAAATTTTAGTTTAATGGTATTTGACTCTTTGGGATGAAGAATCACTTGCCAGTGCTTGTCGTGCACCTTTGTATTACACATTATTAAATAGCCTCTTTTCCATGCCCATGACCATATTTTCAAGATTGTATCAATATGTTTAATCTTCTGATCTCTAATTAAGAGATAAATGATGTTGGGTGACATAAACTTGTTTTCAAATCCGAAATAGTAGGACTCCGGTATTCAGACCATAGGTGTGCGGTCTGTTCGGATAGTCCTCAAAAATTTACCGTACTTATACAAATACATCTTCAGGATTACCAGACACAATGCAATGGAGTCTGCAATGTGAGAAAATGGTAAGATAGCATAGCGATCGCATTATCACATCATCAAGCACATTCAGTTCCTTTGAGAAAACGATTACTGATTTTGCAAGTTCCTTTAAGGGAAAATCACTGCTACATAAACTTGTGATATACACTGTAGTTACTAGTGCAATAAGCATTCCATTTTGACAGCTTGTTTAAATATTTAGTTGTTCATTTGTACAGTAAATATAAAATTCTTTCTTTACACTGCAAATAATAATTTTATTCATTTTGTTTATTTTTCTTCCGTTCAATATTTGTTTCGATTATCCGAAATTTCAAATTAGCAGCGTTCTACTGTAGTACATAGAATTCACTCTTTTTCTAATTAAAATAATATTACTATTGATATACTCTTGTATCTCATTTACTTTGCCTACTTCTTTTCCAAGAGAAAAACATTTCTAAAGTGAACTATATTCTTAGTTCAATTCTCATTAGTAAATTTGAAGAAGTATAGCGAACATACATTAATTTTAATATTATAACAAATTATAATGTTAAATAATTACATACAACAATAATGTTAATACAACAATAATTTTTCCAGGAAGTTCTCACGGGAAAGTATGGTGAAGATTCTAAATTAATTTATGATCTTGCTGACCAAGGTGGGGAAATTTTATCTTTACGTTATGATTTGACTGTACCATTTGCCCGCTATTTAGCAATGAATAAAATAACAAATATCAAGAGATACCACATAGCCAAAGTCTACCGACGAGATAATCCTGCCATGACAAAAGGACGTTACAGGGAATTTTTTCAATGTGTAAGTGTTTCTTCCCTGTTTATAATATGTATAGTGAAGGTACATGACCAATATCAAATAAAATAAATATGTTATTCTTTCTTGCTAGGATTTTGATATCGCAGGCCAGTATGATCCAATGATTCCAGATGTTGAATGCGTGCGTGTTGTTTCTGAGATCCTGCGATCTTTGCAATTAGGAGAGTTCGTTGTGAAAGTTAATCATCGTCAGTTGTTGGATGGAATGTTTGAAGCATGTGGTGTTCCAGCTGATAAATTCCGTTCCATTTGTTCAGCTGTTGATAAATTGGACAAGGTATGTTTATCTGAGATTCACCCCAAGGACTAATTGGACTTGTAATGTTTGTTTTGTTCTGTTACTAGAAAATTTGTAGGTTATGTTTATATTAAGAATTTCATCCTGAGCAGAAGGGAAGACCATGCATTACTGGATCTAATAAAATTTAGTGGAAAGATCTTTTACTTTCACACAATTGTGCATGCATTATCTAAATGAATATGAGGGATTTGTTAGGGAGAACTTGTGTGCTCTTTGGGCATCCACAAAATTTTGAAAAGAATCAGAATTAGTTTGATTATTTCCTAATATATCACCCAAACATTAGATGGGGAAGGGATGGATATTTTGACTCTGGGATGAAATAATTTGTGTGCTTTAGCTTTCAAGCAAAACAGTCTAAAGAAAAGAAATAATAATTTTTACAGTATTAGATTTCCCTTCTTTTTCATTTTTTTTTATTTTAATTCAGAGCATATGCACAACACCCAAAAGTACATTCTCACTTATTATTTTCTGTCAATTTGTAATTGTTAGACACTGATTTTTAATTCCATACAATGTACTTCGTGAATTTTTTACTTTTTCTGAATTTGGTACTGTGCATTGTGTATCTTTACATGAAACCATTTCTATAAACGATTTAATTTCAAATTGAGGCATTCAGGTACAAATAATGGTAACTGACATTTTACATTTCACAGGGAAAACCAATGCAAAACTACAATTTTACATCTAAGGAGAGGCTCAAGCATAACATACAAGGAGATTATCTCTGCCATTATATTGCTTTGAAATGACTTGGTTCTAATTGTCATAAATAATATAATATTGAGGTAGGGATTAAGTGCAGTTAGAAACTTGCAATTCAAACATCTATTTGCAATATACGAATCTAAATCCAATGTTCAATAACTTTATGTAAAGTAAATTAAACTGAAAACTTTTCAAAATGATATTATATTGACTTTTTCTTGCATTTATAATACATAATGATATGCTGTCCTTATAGAAGTTTCCTCAGTATGTTAATAGTTTTTCCTCGCGCATTAGGTGTTGGTAATGTGTATTCAACCATGTGATTTGCTTTTTGACATTCACTGTTACAAATGGTGATGTAGGTGGTGAGTAAAGCCAAGTCGTGGTTCAGAGCGAAAGTTGCTAGACCAAGCAGTTTGATTCCCCGACAATCTCATGTGAAATTTGTTCAGGCGACCAGAGTTCGTCTGTTTCATGGGGGCTAGTCAAAAAGAGCCAATGCTGGCATCCAACTGTTTTGAATATTCCCCCTAGGGGGATCACCAAGGATAGCACGCAAACTGTTACTACGACTACGACGACTACTACGACTACGACTACTAAGACGACTACGACGACTACGACTACCACTACTACTACGACTTCCACTACTACTACGACTACCACTACTACTACGACTACCACTACTACTACGACTACCACTACTACTACGACTACCACTACCACTACGACTACCACTACGACTACCACTACGACTACCACTACGACTACCACTACGACTACGACTACGACTACGACTACCGCTACGACTACCACTACGACTACCGCTACGACTACGACTACGACTACCGCTACGACTACGACTACGACTACGACTACCACTACCACTACGACTACCGCTACGACTTCGACTACCACTACGACTACCGCTACGACGACGACGACTACTACTGCTACGACGACGACGACGACTACTACTGCTACGACGACGACGACGACGACTACTACTGCCACGACGACGACGACTACTCACACCACCACGACTACAACTAGGTGATGAGTAACGGTAGAGATGATTCACTTTTATTCACAAATGTTGACGAACTAATGCTGGAGCTGTTATATTTCCTATTATTTTTATCATTTGTTAACAGCAGTGTTATCATGAAATCAATTTATTCAGGTAGATACAATATAAGAACACTTTAAAACTTCCTTTTTAACCCTTAATGTTATAGATGTAGTTCAGCCATTTTATTTCCGTTGGCCTGCATCCTCTACTAAGTTTAGATTAGTGTTGAGTATCAATACCTTTGAAAACAAGTTATTCTTACTTTTCAGCCTGTGGGTGAGTTTTTCTTATTAAGTACGTTTTTGCCTTATAGTATTAAAGTTTGTTGGGTACAATTGTAGCCTGAATAAGTCTTACTGTTGTGGGTGATAAAAAGGAATTTTTGCACTCTGGAAATCTGAAAAATGATATACTATTGTCAGCGTATGAACTCTAGGATATACTATTGTCATAGCTGCTGAATTACCCTTGGACATCGGAGAATACAATATTTCGTTTGTTAATACACATTGCTTAATCTCATTTTTCATTCAGGAGATTTAAACATCGGTTGATTTGAACGCCATGTCTTGAATTTCAATGACTTCACATTCAGTAAATGCTTGTCCCAGAAGGTTGTATGAAACTAATAATGGCTAAAATTATCATTTTAACTTAGGCTACATATGTAGACTGCATGACCATTTAGACAAAACACATCCATGGGATCCCAAAAACAAAACGGGTAAGAGTGCTGCAGGGTTAAGAAATGTTATTTACATGCAAAATCCTTCAATTAAACTTCAATCTTTTGTGAGGTGACGAAAATAAACCAAGCATGAAATTTAGGATTTAAGGCCTGTCTGCTTATTTTCTATTGATGACTTAATCTATATGCAAACATATTTTCAACAACTTCTTGCATGGTATACTTTGTGCAGTCAATATGATTTATAACAATTCTTAATTCTTCTTAGTTACAATATTGGAACAAAATGAATCATTCCTAAAAATTATTCTTATCCTCTAACTGCTACATCTGTCTGAAGAATGAATACATTTCACAGAGTGATGGGATCTTTTGTGACTCCCAATTGTTCAGAACCTATTTAACTGAACAAAGCATATGTTAGTCTTGCTGCTCGTTATGGACATTCTAAATCAGTTTCTGAGTAATAAAAACAGTTTCTAAGTAGAATTCTGTGGAAACTGATTCTTAAATTATGCTCTGTGAAAAAATAATGCAAGAAAGGTTTTTTTTGAGAAGATTCATCTTATGGTTGTTTAGTTTAACAATGTTCAATTGAATGCAAAATATTATGCCTTGCATATGTGGATAACTTTTTATATGACTGGCTTTTATCTTCTTATATCAGTGGCTATCATTATTCATTGCTTGCTACAGTTTAATTTACAGTGGTGTTCACAATTCATGCTTATTTCCTTTTCATGATCTCACTTTCCTCTTCTGCTTCCACATGATTCTATTTAATGTGCCTGTAGTCAGATTCTACCTTACCATTTTTTCTTGTTTGCATATTTTTCTACTTGTCTTTGGAGATTGGGAGATTTGGAGATTAAATCCATCATATAATTACATAATATTATTTATAATTACTTTGAACACTCAACCAATAAGAAGAGGCTTAAAGGGAAAGCATGAACACAAAAACCACTGGACTTCCGTCAGTTACACAAACAAAATGTTCAGCTGGCGTGCATACACACAATTCCCTCCTCCCAACTTCTCTCCCCGAAACAGTTTTGCACCTGTAGCCACAACACATGCACACAACAAGCAGCCTTCACAACCCAAACAATGTCTCCCAAAAACACACGTTGTTAACAAAACTTGCCAACAAAAACTTGACCATGTGAACATCACACAGAAAACAATCACACTCTCAGACAAACCTAAACCTAAGGTAATTATACTTGCTGACAGCTACAGTAGGCACATGTCTCCCTGTCAGGAGTGAGTTTCTCTCTTAGAAGAGAAACTCCCTTCTTATGAGGACTTAGGATTTTAAACCCAATGCCAAATTGGCAGATGTGACAATTGAGATTGACAGTCATACTTCTGGTTTCACAGCTAGAGATACAGTAGTTGTCATTGGTGTGCCCAATGACATTGATCAAGGTGGCTCAATTAATGTACAAGAAAACTTTACAAGATAATGTTCTCAGTGTACTTCACCAAAATATTAAATACATTTACAACAATATTATACAGCTTGTAGGGTATTGCAATAATAGTACAGAATAATTTAATTTAGAAATCAATGGACTGTATTAGAGATATGAGTATTGAAATTCCATTTGAAGTAGCAGGTGTAGTTGTAAACACATTGAAAGGGAACATAAAAATCATTGACATCTACAGATCCCCAAATTCTAGTGTTAATGACTTTCTGGTCAGACTTGAAAAAATTTTAACTAAATTCGTAGGAAACCATGATTGTAAGTAAATTATTTGGGATATCTGAACATTAATATTGAACATAATGAAATCATGATTTACTAAAGAGTTTCAATTTTCATGATGTGGAGTTAGGGCCAACATGTATTACAACTCATTCCAGCTTTACCATAGACCATATCGTTAATTTGAAATGAATAAATTCAGTACTCTTCTTTTAATATTGATTTTCATCTATTTGACCACTTTGGACAAATCATTGAAATAATCAGTAGCCCATTAGTCTTGAACAATCTAGAAACATACTCACCCATGATACAAGTGATACTAAACTACATTTGCTAAATTAATGTCTCCTAAAAGAGGAATGTACTAATGTACTCAATGGTAGTAAGAAACGGAACTTGTTCTTGAGTACATTAAATCATAATTTAAATATTGCATGATCCGTTATTAACAGGCAAATTATTATAGTAAATAACCTTATAATCGAGCATCCTAATTTAATTCTTGTTCATAGAAATAAAATGAAAAAAATGTATGCCTTGTTCAGAACTACTAAAAAGTCAAATTCTAATGTGAAGTACAAACAGTGTAAAAATCATTATAGGCCAAAACTGATGAATGTGAAAGTTTAGTAATTAAATTATAAAGTTAACAGCCTAACCAACATGTCTAAAACATTGTGGAATATAGTTAATAATGGTAAAATTAAGACTCTCAAAAACATACACCTACAACATGAACGCATATTTCGTGATAATCCTTCTGGTATTTGAATGTCCTTTAACTATCATTTATTAAATTGAAAGCAGGACTCTAAAACCAGTAATAGTAGTATTCCTTTATCTTCTAAAAACACAAAATCTGTTTCTCGGTCATATCAATGCTACTGAAGTTAATCAATCGATAAATTCCTTCAAAAATTGTTGCTCATCAGGGAATGATGAAATTTCTTTAATAATTCTTAAAAAATGTGAGCCTGCTCTTCTTAACACATTAATTTATTTAATATATTCGTATCTATCTGTGTTCACTTTTCCGGAATATCTAGAAATTAGTGTTGTAAGAACATTTGCCATGATTAATAATTCACAAGATGTTAGGAGTTACTGACCTGCAACCCTAACTTCAGTATTTGGCAAGCTATGAAAAAGTTGTATTAGCAAGACTTTGTTGTTTTCTTGAACCTAATAATATCGTTAAAAAAATAACATGGCCTCAGAAAGGGCTTCTCCACCACCACAACCACTGCTGTTGTGGAATTCATCATTTAATAGGGTATCTTATGAAAAACTGTTGGCAAAACTATATTATTATAGAGTAAGGGGTGGAGTTAATGACCTCATTAGATCATACCTCACAGGACGTAAGCTATGTACAGAGATCTTCGGGAAATCTGAAATTTCTTTTTTCAAAATTAAATCAAATTTTGTTACAATTACCACAGGTGTTCAGCAAGGATCTCTGCTTCAACCTTTTCTATTTCTAGTATATGTTAATGTCAACCTTTTCTATTTCTAGTATATGTTAATGATATTCGAAGCTCCTCTGATTTCTCTATAATTTCTTATGCAGATGATACAATATTAATAAGCATTGGGCAAAATTTTTGTCATCTGACTGAATTCTTAAAGTCAATTAAAAGTTGTTTATCTATAAATGAATTGAAACTAAACATTGATAAAACTATTAATCACTTTTACCAACACCAAAACATCAAACTGAAAGTAGACCATGAATTACTGAATTCAACTGTTGGTCATAAATTTCTTCATAGATAATAACCTAACTTATAACCAACAAGCTGATACACTTTGTAATAAAATAAACTCCAATATATTCCTTTTGAGATACTTTCCCAGATACCTGGAAACAGATGCACTTCTTTCAATCTATTATAGCATATTCTTCTCGCAACTTCAATATGGTATTGTAATGTGTGGAGATACGACAGAAAAAAATGTTGATGGATTAATGATCCTATAAAAGGAATGTATCAGATGCATTTTCAAACAGAATCTGATCTGACAGAGACAATCCTGTAAAGATTTCTTTATCAAATATGAATTTCTGACTGTAGCACTGTACTCTTTTGAAGAATTCCTACTAATGAGAAATAATCAGTATCTTATGAGTAATAAAGAGGTACATAACTCCTATACTAGAGAACATAGGGACTATTGCAGGATATACACTAGTAAATGTTCAACTAACATAGATCCTTTCTGCATTTATTATTATTATTATTATTATTATTATTATTATTATTATTATTATTGTTGTTGTTGTTGTTAAAGAACTTTTAACAAAAGATTTCAGATGTAACTCGACCTATCTTGCTACATACCTACTTATTTATTTACTGCCATGCCACTTCAAAGGTCTTTGTAGCCGTATTAACCATTGGAAGTCACCATAATGATAGGTCACTTAAAGGTGTTACTTTAACTGTCAGCATTTCATTTAGCAATATAATTTTTGTTTTTGACTTTTACAAGTTGCCATTAACTTTAGATATGTTTCATTAGGTATAACAATTTTTTTTAGATATATAAAATCTTTATTCATCAAAATGACCAAGGGCGTGGTTTTTGTAGCGGCAAGATACGTCACCTTTTATAATATTCTTGCATGTTTCGCTAATTTCCAGTGCATATTTTTATAGTATTTTCTGGTAGATTCTACGGCTGTTATCTAATTTATTTCTGGTTCCAAGAAAATGCATCCTATTTTGCATTGTGCAATTGTTTTGCAGGTTCAATTTGTTTCTCCCTTTTCAAGGGAGGTAAAATTTTCTTCATCTACAGAAGAGATTTTTACAGTAGCTATAGCACTGTAAGGAAGGTCTCTCTGCAGTGGCACTTTGCTGTAGAGACTGCTTGCAATTGAAATTACATTGGCAGAATGAGCTTCATCGTGCAACAAAAGATAGAGTAAATTGCGTGCATACTCACCACAATCGTAATAGATGTTCGAAGAGGAGTCCCCCACACTGTACTTTTCCACAGATTGAAGCATGCATATGAAGATATTAGTGGCAAAAGTCAGATAGTACCTTGTCCTACTAACAACTCATTTTCTTTGATTTTGATTTTTCTCATTTCAAATGGACAGTGCTACTCTCTTTTTATGGTCAATTATCTGGATTTTGTTGTGAATGTCAGGTACCTTAATTTACTTGTGAAGCCTCATTTATGTGTCTACTTTCAGTTATATTCTTGCCTCTTAGAAAATATATAGGATTACATTTAATTATATCATTTTATGTTTATATTATGTTATTGATATCTCTTAATGTTATGTTATTTATTTACAGTTAAATCATTGGTACATCGTGTTTTTGGAAAAAATTACTCAGTGATTTTTCCTGAATAATATTATATTGAATATAGTGAATATGAATTTCTGCTTTTACAGTAATTAAGACTTCTTTACTTGTATTTAAAAAAATTATGTTTCTTATGAAATTGATGAATATGATGCAAAATTGAGGTTTTATATTAAATTTCTTCTTTTTCTTCTTCTGTTTCTTTTTTTCTTCTTCTTCTTTTTCTTCTTCTGTTTCTTTTTTTCTTCTTCTTTTTCTTCTTCTGTTTCTTTTTTTCTTTTTCTTCTTCTGTTACTTTTTTTTTCTTCTTCTTCTTCTTCTTCTTCTTCTTCTTCTTCTTCTTCTTCTTCTTTTTCTTTTTCTTTTTCTTTTTCTTTTTCTTTTTCTTTTTCTTTTTCTTTTTCTTTGAGATATGGCATAATATTCTGGGGAAATACATTTTATAGTTCCCAGACTTTTAGATTATAAAAACTAATTGTACGAATAAAAAGTAAATCCCAACCACGTGATTCTTTTAAGCCTCTCTTTATTCATCTATATATTTTACCATTACGTTGTCTCTTCATATATGAATCGGTGGTTTTTGTCAAAAATGACTTGCTTAAGGGCGGTAATATAGTTTCAACAAACGCCGTTGTCTATAACCACAACACCCGACGTAGTAATCATATTCATCAGGTGACAGTATCAAGAGCTCACTACAAAAAATTCACATATAATACATGTACATTATTTTACAACACCTTGCCAGATGACATTAAAGGATTAAATTTGATACAAAAGTTTAAGGCCTAAGTAAAATCTTTTCTACTGCACAACTGTTTCTATACAATTAGAGACTATACCGAGCATCCAAAAAGAAAGTAATATTAATTTTAACAACAGCATTTAAGGAATGTTATACCATTTGGATTGTGTAATTGTAAAGAACCTGTAACAAGTATTGTACCTCAGTTTCTGGGTCAATGACCCACATCTCAATCAGGTTTTTGTCCAGTTTCCCGGATCATCGAGCAAATGCTGAGATGGCCCCTTGTTTTTCTTCTGAACATAAATGTAACTTCAATTTAACTTCTCCCCAGAGCATGTCACACACTGTTTTAACTGTTTTTGACATAAATAAATATTATTATTGTTGTTATTATTGTTGTTGTTGTTATTGTTATTGTTGTTGTTATTGTTATTATTATTATTATTATTATTTATTTATTTATTTATGCTTCTAGTTATCATGGGAAGACGTTCGAAAGGAAATGGTGGAAGAGAAAGGTTTGGCAGTGTGTGCTGCGGATGCCATTGGACAATATGTTTGTTTGAGTGGAGGCATTGAATTGGTGGACCAGTTATTAAATGATGAGAAACTGAAGAAGGCAAAGTCTGCTTGTGTTGGTTTGGAAGCAATGAAAATTTTCCTGCAATATTGCAATATTTATGATTTACAAAAACAAGTTAAGTTTGACCTCAGCTTAGCTCGAGGCCTTGATTATTATACAGGAGTCATTTATGAAGCAATTTTACTTGGTAAGAAAATAGTATCAGTTAACAAAATTGCTTGAAGCATGCCAAAAGCAAAGTTTATTAATTTTGGGTGAATAGAAATCAATCTTACTTGAAATTACCTGAGTGTTTTACTTTCAATACATGGAAGTTGTCTTCTGTGCATCATTAAAACATTTTGAGTTGGTTCTGTGCTCTCACCTTGGAAGATGTAGAGAAATATCATTAATGAAACTAATTCAATCTTCATAAATTCCCCTTGATACTTTCTATGTAATAATTGTTGGTGTATATGTAGGGGGGGGGGTGCCTATATTGACATCTACCATCAGATCCATTTTCTTCCTGCATTTTATGATTTTGATTGGATTCACCCTACAGTATAACACTATGCTACTTATGAAAGGTCAAGAGAAAAAATCTGAAAAGTTGATCTGATTTTCAAGAAAATATACCCAATGACAAGGCAAGTTTTCAGAGAACTAAAATATCCTTACTAGGATGGATTTATTTAACTTCTACCTGTTGAGGTCAGAATATATCTGTTATACATTCCATTATTGAAGTCTAAAAATTATCTTTTCGTGGAATACATTTATTAGATATTTCCAAGAATTAGTGCCTCTGGTGCTGAGTGTTGTTTTGTGTTCTGGTATTACTTGCGTAACTTTTCTTGAACGATGGATTGAAAAAAAGCAGGTAGAGTAGGGGTATTAGTTACAAAATCAGCCACTAGATTTTATGAAGCAATGCCAATATCTGGAGAATCAGTCATGTCTTCACAACTTTCTCAATAAATTGCATTTTAACTCTCTCAGGAGTTCGGGATATCTTGTGTGGTGACTCTTCACATGCTTTGGTCATTTCTTTAGATATTTTGGAGAAAATCATGAGCAGAAGTTCTGGTTTCAACAGAAAATAGTTTCTATTTTGTGCCAGTAAATATATGGTGGGAATGTTGTCATCAGCATATGTTATGAGCTTTTGCCTTTAACTGTTGAATGTACCAGAGAGGTCATCGTTCAAGAAAAGTTGTCCGAGTAATATGCTACTATGTTAATTTTATGGCCAATGCAAATTTTCTCTCAGCTTGAAAATATAACTGCCATAAATGAAATAGTAATTTATTTAGGAAATTGCTAACAACACCCTCATCAATTAGACTACTGACATTAAGAACTTTGTTCAATATTTGTTACTCTAGCAATTGTAAAGAAGGTCCACCATTATGAGAAATTTAAAAAATGCTTAAATTGAAAAAATCAAAGTAGAATTCCTTCCAGATAATAAAATTCAAAGAGAAATAGGTCCCAGCCCTCCTACAAGGAAACAAAAAAATATTGTTGTTCAAAATATGTGATCCTTTTTTATATTTACAAAACATATCTGTAAATTACTTTAATGGATGCAACACTGCTGTAGATAAAGAATGATGCAGGATATAATTTTGACTTCTTGTTTAGTATTGATTTCACATAATGTTGTGTATCTTGTTCTACATTTTTACATACATTATTACATCATTTCTAAAATATATAATATGTACTGTCATTCATTTCTCATCGTATACCATTCTACACTTCCTCAGACAGCATGTATAATAAATTTCCTCCAAATGATCCATAGAAAGGTCTTAAAAAAATATTGCACCATGCACATAAAATAGTTTCAAAATAATTTTTTGTGTTTGTTAATATGCACCACAACATGAAACCAAATCTGACAGGTTATGAAACTATCTGCTCATCAGTACTAATGAATTCTGGCTAAACACTCTAGATTGCAAATGTCTTTTGTTCTCTTCATCAAAGAATGGGAATAATTTTTAAAATTTGTAACCATTGTCTAAGGAGTTGTTGACCAAAAGGTGTAGATATATTTCTTCAAGCCTGTTTCAAGACTCTCTTTCTTGCATAATTGGAATTATTGGAAGAGTTAGCTAACTCTTTCATATAGGACAGCACATTGTGTCATGCCTACTTTGATCCTGAGAAAACTACTAAGATTGTTATGCTTTGGTCTACAGCAGGAATTCCAAAACTTTCTCTTACATCTACTTCTTTTGAAAGAATTGTTTTCTTCATCTACTTCCTTACGGTGTTCTGTATAATAAACAGTAAACAAGCGTGACACCAAAAATGCTCATAAATTACTTAAAAATAAACAATTCTGTATTTTCATGTAATCATAAAAGATTCAAATCGGAGAAGAAATCGCTTCTGAGTAGCCGAGTTTCTAATATTCTTTGGGGAGCAATGATTACAAAATGTTGAGCTTCAAATGTGGGTTATTTCATTTCTGCAGTGCCAATTGCGGAGAATATTGTTTTGCACATTAGAGTAACGTTATGAATACACGTTTCGTTCTTTTTTTTAATTTTCTAAACATTGTAATGAATACAGAAAACAAATAAAAGAAGGAAAAAAAGAAATAAATTTGTAATTTATTATATGTTATGTAGAAAACATTTCATCAGAAAACTATTTATTGTTAACTTCATATTTTGTGTAACAGTGAGGTCTTGATCATACTGATCAGTCGCGGTTCCTATTATGCTTCGACCCGAGTCGACTCCTTGATCTTCATTGACCCCTTTTAAAATTAATTCGATATTAACTTCATTGGGAAACTCTGATGTATGGTATAGTTATTTTAAGTATCAAAACAAGTTTATGAATTCAACCTAACAACCCCGTCACTGGCCATATAAAATAACTAAGCAATACCAGCCATGGTCAATGTTCTTCATCCATATTCCAAAGTCTTGGCTTTTTGTTTCTTCATCTAGGTTTCAGAGCAGGTAGAATATTTCTGGTATCAAATCAATGTTTGGGCAGAATATTCTAGGTTCAAAAAACATTGGAATCTTCAATTGTCTACTTCTGATAAACAAGTTGTTCCCAAGTAGAGGCACTAGTGGATCCAGGGTGGGGCCATAGCCCCCCTCCAAAAGACCTAGTTTTCGGTTGTTACCTTCTTTTATGTGTCAATATTGATTTAAATCTGTATTAACAATAGAATTATGTAATTATTTAAAAAATAATTTTGAAAAGTATCATCATACTACTAAAATAATGTATAACATAATAAAAAAGTTTATTATTGAACAGAAATCTATGATGGCCCCTCCAAAATGATCAGCTGAATCTGTCCCTGAGTAGAGGACACATTTAACTTCAAATATATTCTTTTACATTGCTTTTAAAGTTGTACTAACATCTGAACTATGCATAGGAATTTCATTAACATTATATTTCTTGTTCAAAGTGTGTGAAGATGCAGTCACTAGCATTAAAATATTTTGTAATTTTTAAGGATACATAACATGAAGCTTTTAGACATTTTTAAAATGGTCTCAAAAACAGCACCAATTTTCTTCACATTTTTTGCTCCAATACAACAGTGTTCTTATTAAAATGATGTATGTCCAATTAATTACAATTTTGAGAAAATATAAGCAGTTTCTGTGTAATGTTGCGCCAAATCATGACAATGAAAAAATAGAAAAAAGACAAGACTTTATCAAAGAACTGTGCTATTTTTTTTTCTTTAATTTCCTTTCTCGAATAGAAGGTTTACTTTGTAACATGGTATAGTCTAATTTTCATTAAAACTGAGGAAATTCATTCTCAAAATTTAAGCAATAGATTTCTTTCTTAACCTTTTCCAGCTCAAATTGTGGGTAATTAACCAAAAAATAAATGTCCAGATTTGTCACTTCCAATTATCAACTCACAAAAATGAGTTTCTTTAGTAACTTTTGTCTCGTAGTTGAAATTTTTATTGGATCCTTATGGATCCAGTGGGAAGATGGGTAGAACATGTTTATATATAGGAAATATAGCAAGAAATGAGAAAAGAACAATTTAAACTGGATTGTGATGTTTATTTATTGAACAAAAAACAATTTTGAATACAAATAGACTAATGGAAATTGAAAAAAATACATATTATTTTTGGGTGATAGTGCACAAAAGTTTTTCTTTCCATGTAGACACATTATTATTTACATATGTATTGTATTTTATTATTATTATTATTATTATTATTAGTAGTAGTAGTAGTAGTAGTAGTAGTAGTAGTAGTAGTAGTAGTAGTAGTAGTAGTAATAGCAGTAGCAGTAGTAGTATTTATATTACATATTATCTTCAACACTGAAAATTCACACACATTCTCATAATCTGAGACATCTCCACTATGAGTTCCAAAATATCTTCATTTGATAATGTGGACGTCTGAAACACACCTAATATAATTAATTTTAAAGTTGTGATTCGCACATAACTTCACTTCATAACATAATTACTCTTACTTCCCACTGGGTCCATATGGAACCCAAAACGAATAACATCACACCATAATGCATTACAATATTACATTACTCCTAAATTTATTATCCTTATTTCATGCACGTCAATAACATATATTTGTAAGACTGCAATAAATAATATCTTACCTCGAAATTATTATTATTTTCATATGAAGCAAAGCTGATGCAATGGCGGCAGGCACTCCGTTGTTCCTGTGGAATGTCACGTGTTCCAACAATCAAGTCTATTTTGCCCTTTGCTGACTCTAAACACACACTATGTTGTCATGTTGCCTAGTAGAAACTGCGTGCGATTGCAGATGCCGAGTAAATATAAAAGTTGAGAAACTAGTCCAATTAGCCCTATTGGGCTGGAAAGGGTTAATAAACTTTATTTCTCAGTGTGAATTTTTTTATATAATTTTGATTTACTTTTTTCAAAATATTAGTAGTTTTCCTGTAATGTTGAACTATAATGTTATAGATTCACTGCAACATTAAGAATTCATTATAATGATGTTTGAAGTTGAGACGATCCAACAGAGAACTATGACAGTGAAAAAAATTCCATGTTTATGGTCCAAGCACCTGGCTTTGATACATTTTCTTTTCTTTAAACTTCTTAAAAAATAGAGCACAATGTACTAAATTCAATAGAAGCAATTTTTATTTAAATTTTGAATTTTCAAAACATTCAGGTATGGATTATTTTTTCACACCTCTAGCACTTTCTTTGGTTAGGAGTTTTTCAAGTGTTGGCTGAATGGTGTGTGAAAGATACATGTGATATTATAATATTATTTAACAGTTGCCGATAACTTAAGAAAGTGTGTGCTGTTGTATCTCTAGCTTCACTTAAATATTTTATTTGATAATCTTAATATTATTTTGAGTAAGATTATTTTTATTATGTGTATAAATTGAACATGAATATTGAAGTGAAATTTTTTAAATTATGTTTGGATTTTGATGTGATGAAACTTTTCAGATTAGTATGTAAAATGTGCTTGAATTTTATTCATGAATCTATGAAATGAAAGAATATATTGAAAGAATAAAATATAAGTTAGGTAATTGGATTTAAAATCATTTGACAAATGCATCTTCAAAGAACATTGAAAGAATGCTTTCTTTCTTTCTTTCTTTCTTTCTTTCTTTCTTTCTTTCTTTCTTTCTTTCTTTCTTTCTTTCTTTTTTTTTTTTTTTTTCAAGGTGAAGAGACAGGAGACAATAGTAGTGAAGGAATAGAAGTTGGAAGCATAGCTGGAGGTGGGCGTTATGACAATTTAGTTGGGATGTTTGACCCTCGTCATAAGAATGTACCTTGTGTTGGAGTAAGTATAGGAGTTGAAAGAATCTTCTCAGTACTAGAAGCTCGGCTTTCTGCCCAAAAGCTTAAAATTCGAACCACAGAAGTGGAAATTTTCGTTGCATCTGCTCAGAAAAACTTGTTAGAAGAAAGAATGAAGCTGTGCAAATTATTGTGGGATGCAGATTTTAAGGTAAGTGCCTTAGTTAAATTTATAGTTATAGATATAAAAATAAGTTGTATTTTTGTGAAAGATGAAAATCCTAAAACAATCTTTAATTTTGTTTTTCTCTTTTTTGTTAAGGTGGAATCATCTTACAAACGTAATCCAAAGTTGTTAGCTCAACTTCAATATTGTGAAGAGAGCGGTATACCTTTAGCAGCCATCTTAGGTGAATCCGAGTTGGAACGTGGAGTTGTTAAATTGCGTGATGTTGAATCTCGACAAGAAGTAGAAGTGGCTAGAGATGTGTTAATTAATGAAATTAGGCAAAGACTAGAAACAAAGTCAGCATAATCTAGAAGGTTATATTATTTAAAAGTATTTATGACTGGTTTTAATATACCAAAGTTATGAATTTGACAAAACTAAATTAGCACTTCATCCTTTTAGATGACTTTTTTCCAACATCTTCCGGAACACCAAAGGGAACCTTGAAAACTTTGGAAACTGGAAGAGTGACTATAATAGATTGCATTATTAATAATTGTAGTTTTTAGAAGTTCTGGGAGTTTTGATTTAAAAGATCATACTTTTTTTATTGTAAGTAGAAGGAATGAATTTTGTAAAATCAAAAGCCAATAGAGAGACCTACTTTCGTGCTTTTCTGCGGATTCAGTATTTCACCTTTCCTGAGAACAAAATGCAGTTCAGTATAGTTTTGAACATTTGTGTCTTTGATTTGTTCAATTAAACAAAATATAAGTACAAGTTTTTTGAATTTATTTCGGCATTGTTATTACTTATGATAAAGAGCCAAATTCATTGTTTTAACGATTGGGAAATGTTCCCATTCTGTCTCTGATCTTTCATCATGTAGTCATTATTCATTATGTTTTGCGGTATCCTTCATACTTTGAGTGTCCTAACACCTCATCATTTGAAGAGTTCAGAGGTGAAGCATGATAATCAGAAATGCTTTTGATGTACTAGAAGGAAATTAAGTATGGTTTAAGTAGGTTACATAAAAGTGACAAATATAGGAACCATCATTGAGCCGTGAATCAAATGATGTGAGTACTGACACACTATACAATAAGTGACTGAAGCCAAAACATATAGTATCATAAAGAACAGTGCAGTTTTGCGTGATGCCATTTTTACACCAAGCTCATTTGATAATTTCCACATTATCATTTTTCTGGAAAAACTGCTATTATATATGTTATAATCCTGTAAAACCTATAAAACTTCAGTATGTTATCTGTTGGATAGAGCCTCATTTTTCACAAAAAATAATTGTTTCATCCCTGAATTTACCTTAATTCAGGGAATTTGCTTATCCCTGAGAATTCTTTGAAATTTACTGCATTAATTATGATGTTCTTCATTCAGTCTTTGCAAATTACTTCTGAGCAGTGCATAAATGGTAGAAAAATCTTAAATCAATAACAATTTTAAGGGTGTTGCAGATTATAAATTGTGGATATGTTCAATAAAACCAACATTAATTTATGAAACTGAAAAATATTGCAGGTGGTAGTACTCATTTACTCCTGTCCAGGGTGTTGATTATTTTGCTTCTTTTAAAACAATATTTTCCTCCTCGCCAAATGTTCATGAGAATTTTATCACAAAATTCAGAATAAGTAATCTGTGACTTATTTGTAATTATTTAAATTTATTAAGTATTTTATTGCTTTACTTTAGTTATGTTGCAAGTTCTTGAAGTTGATAATTCTTTTTAGAAAACTTTTTTATTTTAAGTTGCACTTGAGCATTATAAAAATTTCCAGTTTTAGTTAATCCTGATTTTTTTCTGTTTCCCATTCAAGTGGAAATGACTTGACTGAACTGAAAGAGTGTCAACTTTTAGATAAAGTTTGCCATTGGATATATTCAATTATACTATAATTTTGGAGATAATAAATACCATTATTCAGAGTTATAAAATGTGTATGTGAAGATGAGAGACAGGATTATAATCAAGATAAGAGACATTCTTACTTTAAAATTTGGAACTATTTTTATTAATTTATTAATGAAAATATGTATTTTTTCTATTTTACAAAAACTATTTTAAATTCTTCCCTCAGATCTTTATATTTAAAGGTCATCTTGTATCTAACAGTACTTGATAAGTTCTATATTCTACTTCATTAAATGAAGATGGACTGCAGTTTATTTATTGGGGATGAAGTGCTTTTATTTAGTTTTTTTTTTTTTTTTATAAACCTTATTTATCATATTTATAATTTCCCACAGACCACAAATATTCATCTTCATCTTCCTCTCTCTTTTTTCTCTTTCTGTTTTCCTTTTTGCCTCCCCTTTTTATTCTCTTGTACTATTATAGTAATCAATACCTAGGTCTCAAATATTTGTGAAAATAACTTTGAAATATGAATGACTCAATTAAAGTATTCTGTAGTTTTTAATGTCAGAACTTTGCTAGTTACCAATGTGGTGAAGGATGAGTTCAAATTGCCTCCTTTAGTTTGTACGTGGCATTAATTTTTGCATATTGCTGGGTCTCTTAATGTGAATAAAAATGTAAATTCTAGAAATTGTGTGATCATGAACTTTATTTCAATAGATCATTTGTTCTAGAATCCTTTCCTGTATGCTCGTGCCTAAGTGCAAGGCAGATTTTTATTTGGGTTGAGTAAATTGAATATAGTGGTAAACTGTTTTACATTTGTTGAAATGATTTATCATTACCTAATTAAGTAGTATTAGTATGTAATGTAATCACTATATTTAAAGTTAATACAGATGGGAAATGTGTAGGAATGTTTGTGATTTTCTAAATCTGAGACATGACAAGTTAGTCAAACTATGAAACATCAGATAGTTAAATTTGCTTTAAATTTTCTTAACCTTAAGTTTCTTACTAAAACTACACAATATTAGCCACAATTTTTAATGTTAATGAACTAGTGTGTTGAATTTTGCCTAATTGTTAAATTTAAAGCGTGAAACTTTTTTTCTGAAAGCTCATTGAATTTAGAAAGATTCTGTTTGAAATGAAATCATGGATTCAATTTTCATGTTATAAACTGCAATAAGAACTCTAGTTCAGTGGCTTCTCCTAAGGTGAAGAAAGTGTTGTTTAACCTTGATTTACAAGGATACCATTTAAGAATCATTCAAGCATTCATGCATGAAGGAAGGTAGGCTATTTGCTACGTCATTTACCATTGCTTTCAGTTCACCTGTGACAAATTCAGTTTCCTAAACTTTTGTAACACTCCTTTGATAGGTCTAGGACATAAAAGAGTGAAGGAAAGAGAAGCATTGAGGTGTGATGTCAGAGTTTTTAGTAACAAAATGCTGCTTCTTTCTCAAGGCTAGCACAATAAAACAGATGAAAAGCCTGTTGTGACCATGTGGGGCACTGTTCTCTGAATTGTGGAGAGTACCGAATTACTAAAGTAGTGGGGGAATAAAAGACGGAGGAAATTGACCGCTGTTGGCCAACACAAGCTAAAAGAACATGAGGCCATTGACTCTTGCCAAGGGAAAAAAGTAGATTTCTCATAAAATGACCTCTGTAGCCACCAGCATGAAGGAAGTTTGCTACAGTGAAGAATTTCTACTGAACGAGTTTCTACCAATGAATATGTGTTTAGTAGGGTTTCACCTGATGCTTTTCTTAGGATACAAGGTCAAATGACGTCACACCTCAGGAACTGTGGTGAGGGTATAAAATACCTTGGCTTGCTCAAGTCAACTTCATTCTTGGTCAGATATTTGAAGGGACAGTGTGTGCTCGACATAAAGTGAAAATGTATATTGGAGTGTTAACTATTGCAGTGTTGTGTTTCCCTGGCTTTGTGATTTGTGCTCTCTCTCATGATGTGGAATTCATACCAGAAGAATTGAAGACTCCTGGTGCTGACAAACTTGGTCGTAGTTTGTCTTTAGGTATTGCAAGAAATGAACGTCATCGAAGAGATCAAGAAGAAAAAACTGTTCAGAAGGAAATTGATATAGACCAAACTGCATCTGGTTCAGAACTTGTGAGTCCAGGTTTTGACATTGGGTATGGTGAATTAGGGCAGTATGTACATGGTGGTCAGCAGGCTGGTGGGCGTTTTATTCAGCGTCAAGATGCTGGAAATTCTCATGGAGAAGTGGGTTTCTATGGAAATGCAGGTAGAAAAGGATCAGCGGGCCATCTTTCAGATGATGCATATATTGCTAATCATGCAGCAGCACATGGTGATCATTCTGATTCTGGTTTCTATGGTAATATTGGAGGGGCTCAGCGAGGATACAATGTTGCAAATGCACAGTATGGATCACAGGCTTTAAATAGAAAAGGGTTAGCTGCATCTAGTCTAGGATCAAAGGGTGGTTACCGCAAAGGGCATCATTCATCTGGTTTTCACAATTCTTATCATAAGGATGAATCTGGAAATAATACAAGTTACTATGATGAGGCAGTTGATGATGGTGGGCATTTTTTCTTTGATGCTCGTGATGGAGCATTCAAGGATCAAGCAGGCAATGCATTTAAAGGTGCATTCCAAGATGGTGCTTTCCTAAATGCAGCAAAAGGCAATGAGGGACAGTATGGAGCTGCTCAGGGGTATAATGATGTTAGAGGGCAAAAGGGTAATTATGGTAGAGGTGAATTTTTTAATGATGCTCAAGGGTACGGACAACAAAAAGGCAATGAAAGATACAATCAAGTTGCACATTTAGGTCAATCTGAAGGAGGTGGTGCAGTGTATGGAAATGCAGGTGCTGGTGAAACATATGGTCATGTAGTAAATAAACCGTATGGTAATCTTGCATACAATCTTCCAAAACAGGTACCTGTAGTGTATGAACAAATCACAGATCCAGTTGTGCAGAATTATCCTGTCCAAGGTAAAGATTACTATCATTACCCTACTTATGATTATTATCCAGTAGGAAGCTATGGACCTTCAAGTTCTGATCATTATGAAAAAGCTCTTTTCACTGGTGTTAAGGAGCCTTTGCACTATGAGGGAGTCAAAGGTCAAGGATATGCTACTTATGTGAACCCTTTACCATATGTTTCACATTCATCAGATGTATCGGATAAGTATTATGGAACATATAGAGGAGTAACTTATTGAAAACTATTATGGTATTGAAGTCATTGCAGTATCATTCAGTTGCCATTATCTTTCATTTTGTATGTGTAATATTTAATTCACCAATCATATTTTCTAAACCAATATTGTTCATCAAATATTGTATTTACAGCATGTCATGTAAACTTTATTCAGTTTCTAATAGATTGATATTTAGTCAATGTTTGTATGATTCATTTAATACCCTGCATTCTCCTGCATATCATTTTCATTTTTTCAACTTAGTTTTACTGGTTTATTCTCTTAACTATTGACACCATTTTTTAATGATACAGAAATATGTTTGGTAAACTCAAAGAAGAAAGTTTTTAAAGCCTGTTTTCTTTGGAGTATGGTAATTATTTCTTGGCACTATTTATTTTAATGAGGTAATTAAGTTATTGTTAAAGGATAATAGGTTTGTGTTGGTACCTTGGTCTTCCATTACTACTTGGATGTGATGCTGTGATTTAAGAAACTACTAATTATTCATACGGTACTTGAAAGTGATATATTGTTCAGACTGGTGTGTAATATTTTTAAAATTTTGTTTTGTTTTCTAATCTTTCAAAGTTAACTTTTAGATGAAACTACACCACATGCGCAATATTTCATTTCTATATTAATGCAAATAAAGGGAAAACATATAATGACAAAACTGACCCAGCAATGATTTTGAATTTCTAAACGATCTCAGTGTGTGTGACAAGTCGGAATAGCCGATGGAAAAGAGATCTCATTAATAAAAATAGAACTTGTGCAATTAATTATGTTTAATTATCATTACTGTAATTAGATTACTCCAATTAACGAAGAGAACGGTATTGAACTCCCTCAAATATTCTGATATACATGGTAGTGTACAGATGGGGCTGAACTACGATTGAGCCTTTATTAATATTGTAGATAGCAGGATGTCTATGGCATATGTAATTATCGTTTCAAACCTAATATTTTAGTTAAAAAAACAAAAAAACAACTAAAACGAGTACTATTTGCATGTGGCAGCAATGCCCAAGCATGACCCACAATTCCTTACAATTTGATTGCGTCGTGCATACGACCTATGGAAGCTATTTGAGCGCTCGAGGACGAGGGACGGTGATACTGGGCATGACGACGTGAAAGTTGTGACCGTGAAGATGGCTGATAGTGATGTTCCTGTGGAATCCGGAGGCCTGATTACAAATTTGTTTTTGGAGATTGTGCGAAGTCCTATAAATATTTTTCTTGTGGGCGTCATTACATTACTTGTTTACAAAATCATTAAAAGTCGCCACAGAGAACCTGTTGAAATACAAGTTGAACCCAAGCTTCCAAAGCTACGAAGAGATTTTACTGTTGAAGAGCTTAAAAAATACGACGGGAATCAAGCTGATGGCAGAATTTTAATCGCCGTTAATAGCAATGTATTTGATGTCACGGCTGGGAAGCGGTTTTATGGCCCAGGTAGGACTTCTTCGCATAACAGTGCCTGCCATGCATATGACAGGCGTTTAGTATCATGTTTAAGGAGGGCCGGGTGTGCATGTAACTTGTTTATCATTACATGTCGATGGGAATATAATACCACTTGATAATTTTATTGTTAACAAGGTGGACCATATGCTGCATTTGCTGGACGTGATGCGTCAAGGGGATTGGCAACATTTTCTGTTGTAAGCGGCGAAGATGGATATGATGATCTTAGCGATCTTAATTCAATGGAAATGGAATCCGTTCGAGAATGGGAAATGCAATTTAAAGGTATGTGTAATTAGTTTACCTCATCTCTCTTGACACTATTATTGCTTAAGGATAGCATTCTAGTACAATACTGAATTTTCCATGTTATGATGTCATCTGGGAAATAGATAACCTTGGTGTAAGTGATACAGTGATCATCAGTAATGACTTGTAATTATGGGGGAACTCATGAGAGTTACTCGTATAGAATGACGTGCAACTTTTTATTTGTATGTCTACATTTAGGTTATAAACTTTTTCAAATTTCTTTTAGTCACTGAAAATAATTTGTTTATTAATGCATTTTTGCAAAGAGGTTAAATACAAAATTAAGAAATAATAAAATAAACATTTTGATATGGCATTAACTTTTTTGTTATATTCCTGTTATCATTAATTGAAAACGAAATGTATGTTTTTTCTTTTGGTATGTGTATTTCATTGCTTTCTGATAACCATTTTGCATGAGCGTCTTCTCTGATTAAAAGTATTATTAAAAGTAGAGATTTTATGTTGTAAATGTCATTATCTTGCAATTCAAAATATAACCTTCAATGTTAGGTTCAAAAGCTTATGTTAAGGGGGAAAAAATGCTCTTGATCAAATTTCATGTACTTATACTAAAAACATAATTTGTTCTTATATCTGTTATATTATCACATTCTTTAAATTTCTTTATACTCTGACAAATACATTACTTTTTTATCATTAGCCTAAAGCCAGTTTTATTTGTAAGAAAAAGGAGTATTTTGAGTTGAAAAATTATGTTCGCTGTTTAATTCATAACATGCATCAGTGTTGCTACTGTCAATTGCTTTTGTTTATTTTAAATTATTTTTTATTCTACAATGAAAAAGAAAAATTATTGTGAAATTAATGTTGTTTAGGATCACCTCTACATGACTGATAGTGATAAATAATGAACACTTGTAATATTATTTTTTTAAACGTGTTTCAGAAAAATATGAATATGTTGGTCGTTTATTGAAGCCTGGTGAACAGCCCACAAATTATTCAGATGAAGAGGAGGAAGCGAGTCCTCAGGAGAGTGTGGATAAACCTAAGGATGAATGATTTATAAAATTCTGATGTGCTGAATCTACAATGTCTCTTTCTGAGCTGCTCAGATCAAAGACTGTTTGTGATGCTTTGACCAAATATACCGTTTGCTTGACCACATACATGTATCAATTACATTTTGATGATAGAATAAGATTGTTCTTTCTCTTCACAGTTTGTCTGTACAAATTCTGTTGCACTCATGTTTGTTAAAAATAATGTAATTTGATTGATGTTATTATTATTCTTTTAAGATTTTCTTTTAATGTGGCAGCTATTACGGGTGTCATCAGAATCAACAAGGGTTTTCATTACTTTAAGAATATTTACAGATGCATTCAATGTGTCAGTGTTTGAGAGATATACTTAATTAATATAAGGCTGCTCTGATAAGAGATAAATTAGATATTAGGTGGGTAAATCATCATGATTTTTATTAATGTTTTCTATGTCAAGGTGTGTGTTTCACTCAGGCATTTAATATTCATTTTAATGTGTTATAGACTTCCATTACTGATACAAAAAATAAATGGGATATTTCAGTACAAATAAGTGGAACATAAACTGTATATTTGGTTAAATCATATGTTATATACAAATAATGATCCTGAAATTTGTGGCCTGTGTGTTGTGAAATAGAGAACAGCTTCCATAACATGCATCAAGACTTCGAAGGCTAGCTAGACACAACAGTGGTGGACAGCTGAAAGCTTTGAATGTGAGAATATTATCAATGTTGCCTACACTGTGTGTTGTGTATTAGAATTTCCTTTGTACTAATTTTTCTGATTTAAAGGTACAATAAGGATATGGTTGTGGCATTAAAGTTTCTGCAACCTTCAAATGACATCTTGAAAATCAATATTGAAATATTTTGATGAATAAATTCGGATACTTATTGGTCGTACGTATATAATGTTGTCTTGGTAAGACAACACTGCACTTGCTGTGGGAATTTACTGCCTAACTCAAATTCTGTTCTGAGATTTGCAGTGCATGCAGTGACCAATAATTTTCCAGGAAATCTGTGCTAAGTTAAATTAGCAAGATCTATTGTTCCTGTAATTTCATAGTACATGGGATATTGATATATCAGATGATACACTGTGTATATTTCCCTCTGATTATAGGCAGATACATGTTTTTCAGTGTTCTCACTTGTTAATTTTTTACTTGTTTGCTTGGAATATTGCATGTAATAGCGTGTATGCAAGAAACTTGATTTGCAATAGTTGGGGCAATTTAGATGGGAAAAAATTATAGGTACAGATGTATCTTGCAAATTGCAATTTTTACACAAATTAATCTGAGAAAATGTAAGGTATGATTTCAACTTGAGAGGATGTTAACAACTTTTATTGAATTGAGGTCAAATGTTAGTCTGCAGAATTTTTCCAAAGTGCAAATTACATTCATAGAGAAAATGAAAACTTGCAGAGTGTATGTAGATAGTTCTCCGTACTTTCATGAAATGGAAGACTGATACAGTTTGTTTGGACCAATGTTAGGATGTGAAACTGGTCAAGGGAGCTGTCAGATTTGACTGTAGATGGTGGTTCTTGTAATTAAACTTATAAATGTATGCTCCAATTTTCTGTTGGTGTTGGATTGTGTTTACCAGTACTAGTATGCAAGAGGTTCAGAGCAAACCTACTTTGTGTACATTTCAAAAATAAAGCAACCATATCATTTATAAATTGTGGTTTCCTTTATTACTTTCCTGAAAAGTATTTGAAATTATTTGATCCATTTTTATTTCTTCCTGTAAACCTATAGTGGCTTGGTAAGCAGAAGGGTTGTCCTGTGATCTGAGAACCTTAAGCGGAGCCACCCCGGCTAACCCCCTCTTATCTCAGCTCCATCTCTATGTGTGGTTACGTAATACGGCGCACATGAGTTTGAAGTGGATCGATCAGTGTCAACCTCTGCTTCTTCGGATCCCCAACCACCATTTTGTTTGGGTCGTGTGCTCCATGAACAATTAAACGCTGGGTGCTAGTGACGACGGATTAGCATCAAAACTGCATCTAGGTAGAGAACATACGGCCATGACCTTGTCCACGCTGCGAGCCGGGAAATGGAACACGTGACATAAGCACGATGCGGGAGTGTTGTCAAACATCCATTCGCGGCCAATGATCTCCCATACTACCAAAAATAACATGAGGCACATTGCAGGTTTTTGGCGTCGAACAATACATTTTTATCACTGCAAATTACATTATAAGTCAAATAGATTAGCGAAAAAAATATCACACTAGCAACATTGTATATGATGGTGGTGGCATTATTTTATAAAGGTCCATCGATCCAAATTTTGCGTTAACACAACATAATAAAATTTCATGTAAGCACTTCCTAAGTAATTGACGCATTGCACTTGCACATCACTGATACAATCCTGTTAATTAACCCTACCACCTTGCTTTATATCATTGAAGAATAAGCACGACATTCAAACAAATAGAGAAACCTGTACGTGCATTTATGATGATGTCGAAGAAACGTCAAAGCTTCAGGACTTAAAATACTTCTATTGCGATTTTATTACAGGCTGCTATATTCCTACTTACTCTTGCACTAGAGCAATTACACTTCGGGCATCTTCGGTCATGCATATGACGTCACGAGTAGTAGTCGAAAAGCAAACTGACCAATAGACGCACAGGTCTTCATCACATGGTCTCCATCGACCAATCAGAATGCCCAATGCTCATTAATAGTCGGAAATTTTGTGACAAGCGTAGAAAAACTTTTCATCAACAGCCGCCATTTTGACTAACTGGGACTGTGTGGGTATTTGGAATTTATTCTTGAAATTATCGTTATTTTACTTCTTCTATAGGGCATTTTTTCGCCTTACTAGTGACTTGGTGTGTTTTGTGTTACTTGTTTTGGTCAGTGTGTGTTAAAAAAGCGATCAAGAAGGAAAAATTGTGGGTGATTTACTTTTGGATCATTGTGTGAGTTCCGTCGGAAGATGGAGAGAGGTACTGTGTAGGCTCATCCGCCAATTTGGGGCTTCATTAAGCTCAATCGGTGACCGTGGAGCATTAATATGTGCCTTGAAGAATGCATAGGACATCGAACTATTGGCACATCATTAATAGAGCACCATTTGTGGCGTCAGGCTTCAAATGAGCGCTGTGTGGCGCGTTCAAATTTCATTAAATACGATACTGTGTAGTCTAGCAGGCACGGCTTGGTAAACAGGGAGATATGGCCGATCATCTCGTAGATGGGCCGCCAAACAAGCGGCAGAAAATGACTGACCCGTTTCAAGGACCATCGGATTCTTCCGGTAAGTGCATGTGATGTTATTTTTCGCACGCATTTTTACAAAATTGAATTTGCACAGCTCTGAAAAGTGTTTCATGGAAACTAACGTTTGACATACTGTCCAAATTCTGTGAACACAAGTGTTAAGTAAATAGTTGTTTTTATCCCCGTTGCTGTTGAATTGAGGATTATAATTAGTGTTGTGCGTATGCTTAAAGTCATATAATTGGAAATGCCAAAGCCCATTTGTTCCAGGTGTCAACATGGATATGACAGTTCATCCATTTACTATAGTACATCAACAATATTATTATGAATTTGATTCTATTATTGTTATGATTTTGTATTTAATGTAAATGACTGTCAGTCACTGAAAAAACTGATATCATTAATTTTTGTGTTTACACTTTTTAAAAAACGGGATGAATTATTTCAACTTCTAGTTGGTGATTGTAATTGAATAAGCTGCTTCCATTAATAATAATTATAATGACACATGTTTTCAGTGTATCAGTTGTCATTTCCTGCAGTTATTTAGTGGCCCAGTAATTTTCTTTAAGCGTTGTATTGAAGCTGTACTTTATTCATGTAGGAATTCTGTTCTTTTTAATATCAAAAATATCATACCCATGTGATACCTATTATATTTTTTTATTTTTATTCATGCATGGCTGATATGATTTAACTTCAGTTTGAAGAAAGTGTCAAGTTTTGTAGGCATGTATGTGGGCATGTTTATTTGCACGAAAATAGCTTTAGATTTTGAGTATTCTGCGCATAGATGGTGGTGTGCTACACAGCTTCTCAATCTATAAAAAACAAAAATAACAGATTGCTGTATTAATATTACTACTTGAGTAACTATAAATATACCATGCAACATGGTGATGTTTTAATCGGGTAACACTGAACTTATAATTTTCCTCTCATATATAACTTCTTTCTTTGTTTAATAACCACTTTTAAACAGTGTATTTTCTTTCTCTTTATTGGTCCGTTGAAACATGTCAAGGTAGTGCTGTAATTGTGAAGTATTCAAACGTCCTTTATTTGAACTGACAGTTCCATACAAGTCGATCATCTGTATTTTGGTTTCTTTATCTTTTTTTGTGACCTGCCATCCAATTCCACAGTCTCGGTGGCGCCTTTAATGATGCACCATGCTTTCAACTTCGGCTTGGCTACATCTCTTGGGAACAGTGGTGGCGGGGGAATACAGCAACATCAACAACAGTGGAGTTCCCAGAAGACAAGTAAATTTCATTTAACCTCCACAATACCTTTCCACTCCAAGATAATAGCACAGCTATATTGCAGCCTCTACTTCCTCTTTGAGTTTCTTGTTTTTGATCAGCACATTAACTTTTATCAAATACTCTAAATAAGAAGGGTACATGATTGTTTAGTTTATTTATAATGTTTAGTGTACATGTAAGATAAAAGAAAGGGAGCATCAGTAATTTTATTAAAGTGTGCTTTTTAAACTCATAATATACATTAAACTATTTTGAGCTAAAGTGTGTCAATGCTTGCTTTTTACAGTTTTCTATTTTCTTTCCTTTGCAACTATGTTTAGTGCCTTCTTAAAGTTTTAATATTGAGCAAATAATGAATTCAGCAAAAAGTAGATGTTTTCAGGTTATATGGGCATGTTTAACACTAATTCTATTTTAATTTTTTTCTGATAAAAACTGGAGGTGCTGGGACCCAAGATGTAACAAACAAGAATAACTCAAATTTGAAGTAGATTTATACGTGTAGTAAATACACTTGTTTACATAATTAACCTTAAATATGTTAGAGTTTAAACTTATAACTTAAAAATGTTATTATTTTTTTATTTTAAGACTTTCCAGTTAACCTTTAATATGAACATAAAATATCATACTTTTGCTTTCTTTTATGAAGTACAGCACCGCATGATTTTTGTAAGTGATCTTGAACTCTGCTTAGCTTGCTTTATAGTTGGCAGATAGCACGGATGTAATAGGTGTGCCTTTACATTTAACAATCAGGAATCAGAAAAGTGGCAAATTGAATTGATGTTGAAAGAGGGTGGATAACTGAGGAACAAATCTCACACATTCTGCAAAATGAATATGTACCAAATGTTATATCTTGTGTATTTAATTTAGAGGCATTAACTGATGGAGCATGATTATTAAATAAGACTCCTTTTTTCTACAATTTCTGCATTTTAAGTACTTACTGTAAGAAAATGTTATATTCTTTTGTCACAAAGTGCAACAAACGGTCGCAGTGTTTGTATTGCATGAAAAGCACGTTGTTCAGGGCATGATTTAAAATGAAAGAAATGTAGGTTTTAAAACAGTGTTACTTTTCATGTGGTCTTTTGATATAATGGTGAAATGTATTTTGTGCATGAAATATATTTTCATAGTTATGTGTAAGTCAGAAAGTTATTCTATTCTGAGTGTTCTTTCATCACTAGATTCTAATGTAATAAAGGAAGGAAGTACAAAATAAAGAATGTGAGAAATTATGGCAACCTATTACAATCGTACTTAAATTAAAATCAATTAATGTAACTTAGGTGCACTGTGCCATCTACTGTATGTTCCCATTATTTATTTGATAAATTTTGGCTGACAGTTTATAATGAAAGCAAGAGATGACAAATATGTGAAGTATTGTCTAAAATTGAAGTTAAGCTTGAATTTAAATTCTACTATTGTTTGTAAAAGGCTTAGTAAGTACTTTATAATGCAATATTCTGTCTGTTAACTGTCTCAACTTATTTGTCTAGATCTGTTCACAAACACCGATATGTTTGATCTGGAGAATGAGTTGCCTGAAGAGTTAATGTCATCTGGCACCTGGGGAAGTGCTGTAGAGCCTTCTGCCAGCAGTAAACCCCCAGCCACAGGACCTGGTCCAGGGGTTCAACCAACAGGGGGAGGTGGTGGTGGAATGCAGAATGGAGCTGTGGATCAACAATCTGGATCTCAGGATGCTGGTACAGGAGTGCAAGGCAGGCATGTTGTGACACAACAACAGCTCTCGCACCATCTCTTGCAGCAACAAGTAAGCTTTTGAGAACAAAATAATCAACTTATATTATTTTAGAGAATTCAGAATTATTTATGCATATGATACTGTTCATCTAGGGCAACAAAAGCCTGGTTGTGAATTCTATAGCAATGGCAACAGGTGCTTTGGCAAGCAAGAGCCCAAATTTGCAGTCCCCACCTAATGTTTCTGTAAGCAAGAGTGGTGTGCCGATGGTAGTAAGCCTTAGCAGTCTCTCTGGCAGTTTAACTAGTAGCATTGCCAGTGGAGTTGGTGGACTGCAGATTAATAGTCCAGCAAGTCTTCAGCAACCAGGGTCCATGAACAGCAGTGGAGGTGGCATGATCATGACTAGCAGTCCAATCAATTCTATGCATCATCCATCTGCTCCTGTAGGGCAGCATAATGCTGCTGCAGCTGCAGTAGGAATGCAAAATGGACCATTGATGGCACCTCGGACAGCAGTCATGCAGCAATCCCATCTAGTAGCTAGGGGTCCGGCACCTCAAGTACACGCTGTTGGGATGAACCGTATGCCGGTTAGAATTTTAATTTTGTAATAACCTTAATGCATAGTACTGCAAACAAAATCAAAATCTTGTTTCAATAGATATTGTGTGTTTTGAAAAGTAAAGTACTGTTTTTTAAATTAATTTTTAGTTTGGATTTTGTTTCATGTAATGCCCTCTAAAGTTTTTATAATATATATGATGATGTTTAGTTTTACTGGCTTAAATATTTTAAGCAAGAGTCACATTTAATAAAAAAGTTCTAGCTATTGTAGGAAGACCATGATCAGCATGAGATCATGTTTATTTTCCAGGCACCAAATATGACTGCAATTGGGCAAATGGGCCAGACAATGAGTGCTGGCAGTCCTTATGGCTATGGCTCGCCAGGTGGGGGTGCAGCTTCTCAAGGAATAAATGTGGGCAGTGGTGGGACAAGCGCAGGAGTTGTCACTCCTCAGCAGAGGACTGGTGTGGGTGCAGCAATGGCCACCATTCAGGCATCAAGGTTTGGTGGAGCAGGAGGTGGAGCCATTGGTAAGTGGAGCAGCATTTTTATAAATCAGGTTTTGTTGCATATCGAATTTTTGACCAGACTGAAAAGAATGGTATCAATGGCGCAGAAATTGTGGTGTTACTACGTAATGTGTTAAATCAATTCATTTAATCATAATTGAATTTCTATGAGCAATATGAATTAGAAGAGTCAGTGATTCCAATGTTGTTAATGATGTTGGAAAAAAATTTGAGTGTGTTGAACAATTAATTGAACACAAATTCATTTAGTGAAATGACATCACTTTTTTATTGATATAGGGTGTAAATTGCAGCTTCGTTTAATTTTATTCTCAAATTTGTATGAATTAAACAGGTAATTGGTAGAAAGTTGTTTGTAGAGCTGAATGAATGTTAATTTGTAGGCCCTTCAGTAGTGGGAGTTAGTGCTGGGGAAGGAGGAATGGCGCAGCAGGCCCAGCCACCTGCCCCATCACCCGCACAGCCTCAGTCAGGAGCTCCAACTGGTGCTCAACCTGGTCCCCAGACGGCCACACAGGGACAGACAACACCTGTCACAACACCTCAAGGTGCTCAAGCACCTGCTGCTACATCTACTGCTGATCCAGAGAAACGAAAATTAATTCAGCAACAGTTAGTTCTGTTGCTACATGCGCACAAGTGTCAGAGACGAGAAAGTCAAGCAAATGGAGAAGTCTGGCAGGTAAGCAGAGCAATTGGTATTATTATAAACTTAATTTAGTATTAACATTAGTTTAATTCGTGATTTGAAATTCATTTATACATGATGTGTATCATGAATAGTTCATTTTTCTATATATTGATTAAGATGTGTAAAAAACAAGAAATTATATCAGATATAATTTCTTATGCGGATGTAAAATATTGTTTTTTCAATATTTTTAAAAGTTGTCTGATATTTTGTAGTGTAATCTTCCACATTGCAAGACAATGAAAAATGTGTTAAACCACATGACAACATGCCAGGCAGGCAAATCCTGCTCTGTGCCACATTGTTCCTCATCAAGACAAATCATTTCACATTGGAAACATTGTACGAGGTCTGATTGCCCTGTCTGTTTACCTTTGAAACAGGCTGATAAGATTCGTAATCACCAAAGTGGTATGTACTTTTTTTTCAGAATTATTTTTCACATACTGTGTACTACTTCCTTAGTTGATTACAATTAAATTAGGATTGTTAAATTGTTGTTTGTTTTTCTTTCAGTGGTGCAAAATCAACAGCCAAACAGTAGACCTAACCCATCACCTTCAGACATGCAGAGAGCTTACGATGCACTAGGTATTCAATGTCCGCCAACTACTGGTGGTTTGCTAACACCTACTACTAGCGTAGTCAGACACAGACTTGCAGCTGGTATAGGTGTAGGACCTCCTCCACCTAACATGCCAGGAACTACAGTAAGAGGACCTGTTCCACCTCATTCACAAGGTTTGAACATTTTCAACTTTAATTTAAGATGGTTTTGTGATTTTAACAATTGTTCAAATTATTCTTATAAAAGAGTCGGGCATTGAAATGGTGCATGGCTAATTTATACTGTTTTGGTACGAAAGAGTCCCAGATCATGATGATTGTTTCGAAGACTTCATCTTCATGTAATCATTTCTTCAAATCAGTCTTTTGATGTATTTTTTTTTAGTATTTTTGATCTGAAGTTGGGTTAATGTTGATGTTTTCTATCTAAAGTTCATTGGCCAAATTCAATTATGGGATGTGTTATTTCATTGTCTAAGATGCTGTTTTTCACCTAGCTCCGAACTAGTATTATATTGTAGTAATACATTGTCTTTGTAGGGCAGGTACAAATGAATCCCTGGCCACTCTTTGTAGTTTAAGGAAGGAAGTTGAATTACTTCCTTTAAATCTTACATAGAATCTTTAAAATCATTGGTGTCACTTGTAAAATATGATTTGTTTCATACTTTTTGTGCTTTTCATGTTGGAATTCCTAATCGTGAACATTGAATGAAAGGCGTTGAATTTCATCATGAATGTTTCTGGCCAATCCACAAAATATGAGAAAATTGTAATCATTTCTGTATTGATTTCTGACTGATAATTACAGGATCCAGGAAAGTCCTTTACCTTGGAGATAGTCACATCTGCTGTTCAATCCCTACTATTATTGCCATTTTCACTTTAATTAGGAAATCCCAGTGGCTATTAGGATCTCTGATACAATTAGGTCAAATATGGTTATGGGTTATAATCATAAAATAGGAAATTGTGAAAATAAGTTTTGCTGGTGTCCTGAGTTAATTAGGAATTTTTAAAAAAAAATCTTAAAATCCCCCTCCCCCCCCAAAATGTATGTTCTGACCCTAACATCGTATATTTATTAATTGGATTACAATTAATTTTAAGTGGTGTATACTCCCTTTGTGTGTGCCCTTTATTCTAAAGTTCATAGTTCTTTGAATGCGTTGTCTTTAAGTCTACTGTTTATAAATTTTTTAGGTTCAGAAAAATACACAATGTATTGGGTGTGCATGCTTGTTAATGAATTTCAGATTTCATGAATAAAGTCTTGAAAAGAAAAAGTCAAAAACCAAACATGAAAATTAAAGCAACATTTTTCCATAAGAAATAATGCAAATCCAGTACTTTTTAACAAAAATAAGAGACAAACAAAATTACTACAGGTTTATTACAGATTTTCTGTGGCCCCTTTTATTCTTTGTCATAGTACTTGTATTCAAAACTTGTTAATGAAACCCTCTGGCAGTATATTTAGCATTTTCACTCAGACAACTCTAAACGACAATGGTTTATTAAAAAACGGTGCAGATGAACATAGGGGTTCAACAAGTAACAAAGGCAGACGGAGTGGTGAATGCATGGGATGTTTTGTACGGACTCTTTATTCCAAGAAATGAGTGTTGAAGTCTCTTTGGGTAGGCAGAAAAGTTTGGTACAGACCCCTTTCAAAAGTACAAAAACTGAATTAAAGTTAACTAAAGCCAAATTTATCATCATAAATACATTTTATTATTATAGAATAGTCAATAAAAAAACTAAATCGTACGAAAACTAGAGGGCATGATAATTTGTAGTCCCAGCAGAATCGTATGAAATCAAAGGGTTGACTCACATATATGTATGGACTTATGTATATATTTTCATATTCATACATATATACATCTGAGAAATAACCTCATATAATTCCATGTAATTGAAATTTAGATAACGACTTATTACTGTTTTTTGTACTGGTTCCACAATAGCTGTTGTGTATCTTAATTCCCTTCTACATTAATTAAAGATTTTATGCTAGTAGTATTTAGTGATAAATTGTTCTGGAAGTCTGCTGTTTTTAATAGCTTCTTGATCCCGAGCCCCAGGGCAATGAGGTGACAGCTGAGGTTAAATAAAGCGTAACCCTGACAAACAAATAATGGAAGCAAGACACTCAAGCATTCATGATGAATATATTTCATCTATTGAGTAAACCACACCACCTGTGATAAATATTTATCTGTGCATCCCATTTACTCCTATTTTAATTTCCTAAAGATAGGAATTATTTAATTTCAAAATATATCTTCCCAATATTTATTGACTTCTAGTGCAATACTTTTACAAAAGGCTTCACAGACATTTTGCAGAACAGATGAACAATTCGTTTGATGTAAAATTTTACATTCAATATCCTTGAATCCCGTTTAACTAAACTACATATTTCTTCTTGACTGGCAAGTCTACTTAGAAGAGATAATTCATATTCAGTGCCATGTTTAACAGTACAATGAAATTGTGGGGCACTCAGTAATTAATTTGTTACAGTGAAATTTCATTTTATTGGTTATTTTTTCAATTCTTGAAGACACAATTTATAGTACTTTCTGGTCGAAGATTTACGTTACTTCAAAATGAATTTTCAAATGCAAAAGCCTAAAGTTCTATGAGAGGATAATTAAATACTAATTAATGATTTTGAAGTAATATGGTGGTGTTCTTTGTAATTTTCCTACAAAAATTAATTTAAAAACAAACATGTTTTCGACTTGTACTGTTGGAAATCACATCTTGATGATAATCCCATTCGAAGATATAACATTCATAAACTTTTTGCTCCTATTTGGCAACTAGCATGACTTCTTGCATTTGAAACTGTGAACAGCTCCACCAGCGGCATTCTTGTATACACAATAATTACTACAGTAGAATCGCATGATTAATATATACCCTATAATAAGAAAAGTGTTAATTGGAAAACAATTTCAAATATTTTTTGATAAAATTATCTTAAAATGGATGTCAAAATGTGAAATTTTAATTTCTTATGTAGAAAGTTCAAACTTCATTACAGTAAATTTTTTTCTGTTATCATATAACCTGTAGGTAAATTGGTGGGGGATCTGAAAATAATTTTATAGAGGTGAAATTTTCCATATTTGCATTTGATGTTTTACTGCATTAATAAGATTGTGTTTATGAGGAGTAATAATGTTAATATGCAATTATGAATAATGTGTGTTCAATGAACAAAATATTTGGTTTCAATATAAGAATTTTTCAGCAGGTCAACCACAGGCATCAGGGGTGCCAACAGCCTCACAGCAGCAGGTGGTTGCTCCAAATGTTTCTCTACCGATGAGTACCGACCCTGTTCCTACTGCTGGGCAACCACAACCTCAGCAAGGTCCAACTGCTGCAGCCCAAACAGCAGCAACTATTCAACAAAGTGTTGCTAGTATGCAGAATGCATTGTTTGGGCTAAACAGTGATACCCAAGGAGGGGTACGTCAAATTTTTGTCTTTTAATTTGGATTATAAAAAGAAATCTACCCATAATTTTGTGTACTGTTATGTAGTAGTTAGCATGTTCTTCTTTTGGGAAGATCAATGAAACATTTATGAACAGAAAGGTTGGTATATAGGTTCCATACGTTCCTGTTTTATTAGTTATGAAATTGATCATAATATTTTTGTAATTTATTCATGCATCTTGAGTATGGCCGTACAATGTTATTGGCTTGTTTTATGGTGAGGAGCTTTCATGTGTAATTTTCTGCCGAAGTTTCTGAAGATTGTAATAAATATACCAATCTTCAAACAGGCAGTGTAAAAAGTCAGTATTATTGCCTGAGGAGGGATTATTAAAAGGGATCTGTTTAGATGTCATGGTGAATTTTCGTAGTGTATTTAAAGTGGAGCTGTTGTAGTGTGTTTAAAGTGTAGTTTCTATTTCAAGAGGTTTGTTATTGTAACTGAATACCACAAATAGTGAGAATGTATGGTAAAGTTAGTATATTCATGTGGCCAATTATTTTGTCACTTCGTCATGCCAAACAAATTTGGAGGTGTAGTAGTGTGAGATATGTATGAATGATATGCTGTCTTATCACAAATGTGGGGAGTCTGTGCGCAGTCTATTATTGCTGTTGTAGTAACAGCAAAACGTTCACATTTAAAAATAATTTTGCTAGAAATTAAGTAAAGTGCATTTCAAAATTGCTGTTTAAAGAAATGTTTTTATAATGATTTATTAATGTCTGTTATGTTTATTTTATTGAAATGGTTTTTTGACGTTAATAAACAGACTAAATTTTTATATTAATTTATTTATTTTAATGCAATGTTTCAAACAATTCGTTTTCAACAAATATAAAAAATATAATGTAATTTGGGTTGAAATGATGGAGAATTATTAATAAAATGGTAACACATATCTAATGAAGTGAGACACAAAGAGGAATTGAACAATAATAATAAAAATAACAAAATATACAGTAATAATGTTCATAAATAAACAGTAAGCATTTTGATAAAAAATTTAATTTTATAAAAAACACACATTCTTACACAAATAGCAACGTTTTATCATTTAATCACAACTTACATTATATTTTTTAGTTCTTTTTGAAAAAGAAATCAAATGGGGTCAAATGTCAATTGTATAACAGTAAATTATATTGTTACAATATTTGTAGTAAATGGTTATAAAAAACGAGTGTGTGTTTATTAAAGTCAAGAAACCATTAGAATAAAATGAAATGTTATTTACTCGATTTATTCTTTGATTATAAGTTTGCTTTTAGTGAGTTTAATTGAAAGTATAAATCAACTGAACTTTGCAAGTGAATTCCAAAGAAGGCTCTTTGACATTTGGTAATTGTGGACCCCCCTTTTACCTCTCACATCCATGGTCGTACTTGTAAATTCCTTTCATAGAATATATTTTAATATTTTCTCTTAAAATGAAACTCATAAAATCTTGCAATAGTCTTTTTATCATGAATGTGTTAATTAGGTGGCGGATTATGATGACCTAAAACATAGTCAAAATAATCAATAAAATTCTTTTAAAATGCCCTAAAACAACGTAAAAAAATTGATCAAAACCACTTCAGATGAACAAGTCATGCTGTTGGATATGTTACTTATGTAATCAAGGCTTCTTCCTTTGTTCAAGTGAACTCTGCTTACAAACTTTTGTTTTGGACTATTTTTTAAAAGAAAATCTTTGTCAGATTTCGCAATAAATATAGGCAAACTGACAATGGCACTGGTAGGTGTCACAGGAACTTTTTGATTACTTAATTCCCACAACAGCTGACGTTGCAATATGTGAGCAAAGAAATTGAATGACTACTCAGGAATTATGTGGTAAACATTTGTTACACCTTGTAAATATTGTTTGAAGCAAGTACTATTAAAATATTAAAATCTATGAAATCGGCGCAAGAAACAATGTAAAAAAAACTACAAAAATCATTTCCTTTCAATTAACATATAATGAATTTCTATACTAAACGACATTGTCCTAATAAGAAAAGAAGAAGAAAAATACATTTTTTTTAAGAACCACCCTTAGTGATAATATTAGAACTAACTAAATTAGTCGAGAATATATTTTTTGTCTTCTATCGGCACTCATTTAAGTGACACTTTCAGACATAAATTGGCTAATACTTGGTTCATCTGGCCACTTATATTAGTGCATGTAATGGAGTAATGCTAAATTGCTTTATGACCTTTTAGTAGAAATTGGTCACTGGCTTGCATATTTTTGCTTGCAGACGTATTAGTTTCATTCTTGTCCCAAACTTGCGCTAATTATATTAGTACAAATACATTAACAATAATGCGGAATGTTTTTGTATGTTACTAATAGTCTCTATTTCTATGCAAATTCATATTTTGAGTGCTTTGAAAATCACATTTGTTTACAAATAACTCCAATTGAAACTTGGAAAATTTTATTGTGCATATTTGAAGATTTTTGCATATTATATGAAATTTGACACTAAGGTAAACTTGGACAATAATTTTCAATTAAATGTAAATTTTTGTTTGGTCATGTGTTGATTAAGTTCAAGTAATGAGAAGTAATAAGAAAAAATAATATATTTATTTGAAATAAAAATAAAATAGCCCCTGGGGATTGCAGAACATGTTAATTCCAAGTTTTCACAATTCATCAAACTCCCTGTCACTGTGAATCTTGAATACTGAGATTGATTTCATTTTGTTTCTAAATAGTTTTCAACAAGTGCGTACTTGTCCAGAATAGACAGGTGCTCAAATAAAATTATTAAATGGATTAAGCAGTTCAATGAAAAATTCATTTATTTTTCAACTGATGGAAAAAGGTTTTGTAATACTTATTGGAATCATGTTCAGTCTGAAAGACAATTCCAAATTTCTCAGCTCAGTGTAACAAGGTGGTGTTTGAACAGTAATAATTATTGGCCTTATAACCAATTGAAGTTTCTATACATAAGCTGCTCAGAGAAAATTTGCCACCACGCACCTGTTGCCTGCTTACTGATCTTCATTCTCAACAGCTTATCATTTCAATGTCTTTGTTTGCAACATCCCACTTCATAAAAAGCCAACAACGAAAAGTAATGAAAACAAATTGTTTTGGAAACTGATATTTTCCTAGCAACACTTGTTTTGATCATGTGTTCAACCATGTAATCAAAACTATTCCACGATCAGCAGTTTTAAGCATTTTGCTTTGCTTCTTTGGAAAATATATTTATCATACAGTAAATTTTTAATTGCATGTATTTAAGATTTTTTAGAATGTGTTATGTGACCTTTTAGGCATTTATAGTGTTTGTAAATCTGGACTGTTGCACCTTATTTTGTGCTTGTGTAAATATTATTTAAACACATAAAATCAGTAATTCTGTATGGTTACATACAAGATCTAATTTTACAGCATTAATGTTGAAGTTTCAGTTTTTGAATAGAATATTCACATCTTTCGTGTTAATCAAACATGATTGGCACAATGATTGTCATTTTATCACAGTGATTGCCATTTTATGCCAACTAATGCCAAGAAAATTGCTCAGCTTCAAATTTGAATATCATATCTTTTAAATATTGAAGAAGCTTAAAATATTAGGCATAATTAACTTTTGATTATTTTAAAATTGCAAAAATCCAGATGATAGACAGTTATGTGTAAAAAAAAAAAAAAAAAAAAAAAAAAATATATATTTTTTTTGTTCTGTGTTGAAAACCAAACATGAACAAAACACCATTAATGATTGAAAGAGCTTGTTATTTAAGTATTGTTCTTTCAAAGCTTGTGGGTTCCTTTTTGTGTTTTTGTCAGCAGATGTGAAGTAAATGGTACTAAATAAAACTATAAAATCATATTTTTAATAATGCTGTGACATCAAATTGTTTAACATATGATTGTATTATAACTGAAAATTTCATTGTTAATTTTAATATTTAACATGAAATATTTTCAATTTATAAGTAATGGAAATTCATGTTTGAATTGATGCTTTGTTTGTTCTCTTCTCTCCTGATGTATTAAAATATTGCATGGAAATTGCTTCTTTTCTATCAGTTGGGTTCAGAAAATCTGTTGGCCAACTTGCAGCTCCCTGCCGGCTTTCCGCCTGGTCAAGTGACTGCTACTCCTGTGCAAGGGACCAAAGAATGGCATCAATCTGTTACACCAGATCTGCGAAATCATCTGGTGCATAAACTGTGAGTTTCAGTTTCACTCTCCAGATATTAATACAGATGTGCAGTATCCATGCTAATTGTATTTGTGTTTTAGTGTGCAGGCAATATTTCCTACACCAGATCCTCAGGCAATGCTGGATAAACGCATGCACAATCTTGTTGCTTATGCTCGGAAAGTGGAAGGTGATATGTATGAAATGGCTAATTCAAGGGTATGTTTTTAAAATGTATTTGATAGTACTTTGAAAATATTTTCATTTGTTACATTTTCTATTCTGTATTCACATTGTGAATATCTTTGTGGTTTTAATGATGTATTTGAGAAATGTGTGTGTGTTATTTTTTTTTGCAGTCCGAGTATTATCATCTATTAGCAGAAAAGATATACAAGATCCAGAAAGAACTAGGTATTGAAATCAATCTTTTCATTTCCATCAAAATATTGTGGTATTTGAAATCAATCTTCTTTTTGTTTTTCGTTTTAATTTGTTTCTTGTTGACGCGTATTTTTAGAGGAAAAGAGGCAAAGGCGTAAAGAACTGCAGCAGCAACAGCAGCAACAGCAACAGCAACAGGTTCAACAGCAGCCAGCACAACAATCTCAACCACCTCAGCCCCAACAACAGCAGCAGCCCCCACAACCACCAACACAACCTCAACAACAGGCACCACAGCCGCAGATTAGGCCAACTGCACCAGGTGTTGTTGCTGGAGTACCAACGCGCACAGTGGGAACTGCTCCTCCAAATGTTCAAGGTGCCAACTTACATTTTTTTAACTTAAGAGCAAACACAAGTTACATATTTTTAAGTTTTGCATTGTTACCATGTTACTATGCAGTAAACCCTTGTGAATTTGAATTCCTAAAGACCAGAATAATCAGTATTAGTGTTGTATTAATATTATTATTATTTATTACCCGCTTTTACGTTCCCAGAATTTAAGTTTTCCTGCACTTTATTCTGATTTTCCCTGGTCTCTTTCCCATATTTCGAATGTTCATACTGTTAAATTATCCCCGTTTTTACGCTTTCGAAACTAATTTCCCCCTGCATTTTGCATTTTTTTGGAGCCATCACAGATTTGAGAACACAATTTCTTTCAAGATATTTTGCATTCTCTAAGAAGTAGATTTACACTGTTGGCTAGGAATTCTGATCTATTGAGGGAAATCAATTTTAAAAGAGAATTGGCTGAACGGTTTAGTTTGCCCACGGACAGACGGCGAGAGAGAGACATACATTTTGCCCTAAAATCAATTTTTCTGTATCAAGGACCCACAAAACATGCATTCTGGCTATACCACCATCCTGTAAATGGCAGGATGTATCCACTTTCTCATAGTAAGGGCTTGGCAATAAAAGTTTTTCTGCCAAAAATTCTCAGTTTTGCAGCGCACGATTACCCAAGTTTCTCATATTATTGTTAGTGCAAGTTAGTAAAGATACTAGAATTCTTAAATTTTAAAGGAGAAAATATTAACTGAAAATGGATTGTAAATTTTCAGTAAGATATTTTACATTCAATAAAATTTTCTCTCCATTTACACTTTTCTGCGATTTACACCATTTTTTCTTTGTCCCTAGAATAGTGTAAAAGAGGGGTTCTACTGTATTATTATCATTATTATTATTATTATTATTATTATTATTATTATTATCATCATTATCATTATCATTGTTAGTATTAGTATCAGTATTATACAGGGTCTTTAGCTTCCCGCAACCCATGTCTTGAAACACTACCTCGTTTTAGCAATTTGGCAACACGTGAAGTACCTTCGGCATCCCTTTCACTTTTAGCATCCCCTGCCCATGTGCCCTCAGATTTCGGGGTAGGAGAATGCGACTAATTTTAGTTGGAAAAAAGAGAGAGCACTTATTCTGTCCTTGTTACTTTTGAACATACTGCAGCCACTACACTGAAAAGAGTAAATGGCTGTCTCTTGGCAAATGGCGGGAACTTAGAGGGTGCACCCTAAGGTCAGTAGTGAGTACATGTAACAAAGTTTTACTGAACTTTTCTATGTTTAGTTAATTATCTCTGCATTACATGTAAATCTCAACCATTCGGAGAAAATATTCTCACTTAATGTTAATTTTATTCATTAAACTACCTAGACCTGTTACAAGACTGCACTTAAAAAAAAATTGATACAAATTTGAAAATTGCTTCACACTGTCCAAAGCCCTTGAACTGTGCATTACAGTACAATAGACCCAGTACTGTTTAAGAGAAGCCATTCTAATATTGCTAAGTATTAAGATTAAATTGTACAGAAAATCAAATAGTTCTTTAATTTTATCATGAAAGATTATTTCATTTTCCTTCAATTCCAGTTTACATAGTTTTTCAACACTTTTCTGAGTCTTCTCTTTCTAGAATACTATTTAACAATTGCATACCAATTGGTGGGGTGTGGTGAGGTCTACAATAGACAGCAGCATTTTTTCCCCCTGTATCTTTATTTGTTGCAAACATTTGCTGTTTCATTGTTTAGGAATTTTATTATTAGAGTGGGAACTATCACTAAGAGTTAGTTCTAGTTTTCAATGCTTATCAGGTTTAATTATTACAAATTAATTTCAAAACGTTGCCAAGCAGAATTCCTTTGTAGAAAGGCAGTTGTTTTCTCACAGACAAGTCTGCCCAAAATCATATTGTATAGTATCTGTCAAAATAAGTAACAGTTGTGCAAGTAATCAATATTGAATTAGTTTTTCAAAGCAGGACAGCATGAAAAAGCTAGTGCCCCCTTGCAAGAACAGAAAATCTTCAAAATATTTGTTTTTCCAATAGCTCTGGAACTGGACACACACACATTTTTTTGACATAAATTTGCAGAAAATAATTGAAATATATTATTAAATACTGGGTGATCAGTTTATAATGCAGCCCTGCTTTTTGAGGCACTGAAAGAATTGCAACACTGCTCCTGGGTTAGCTTCTTTGATTGCATTTATGTGAGTGCCTTCACCCAACATTCCCTTCCTTTCAATCATCCCCCTTCCCTTGGTCTGGCTCATATCTTATCAAAGCAAACCAGGCTGTATCTTCATTCTTTGTTTTGAAGTTAATGTACAATGCGACTCAGCTTAGAGCTATGTAGATTTGTGATAGAGTATTTCTGAAACCAATCTTTCGGACTGCCAGGTAGCTTTTAAAGAAAAAATTTCACCAGAGTCTATTCCAAAGAAATACCATATTTTGGTTAAAGAATTACTATCGCAAGACGTGATTGATTGGAAATGTATTCAGTGAAATACAGTGCTCACGCGAAAACTGGAGGAAGTTCAGAATGTTATTTCAATATCCCGGAAAATCTCATCAAACTTAAGGAAACTTCAGCAGCAATGTAATTTTTTGTACAGAAGTATGAATTGTGCTACAAAAAAAATTGAAAATGTATGCATTCATATTGGGAAATCTTAGGAGCTTAAGGTTTTTGATCTAGCTACTCTAATGAATTACTGTATTTGGCTATGATGATTTGACACCGAAGTCTTGAGACACGTGATAATGTATTTTGGAATAATGAGGATTGGTTTTATATAGATGGTTATGTTAACCAGCAAACTAGATTCTGGACCACAGGACACCATTGCATTATAAATCGGAGTATGATGTGCCATTTCTCGGCATACAATAATTAGTTCATTGTTTTTCAAAGAAACGGTAATGAAGGATATATATCAGAATATGTTGAGAAATTTTGTATGCCTGCTTTAAAAAGATTAGAGATTGTGATTGAGCAACAAGTGGTGTGACATTACCTGCTGCCAAGTCAACAATGCAATTTTGGGAAGTTTTATAGGGAACAGAATAATTTCACGAAGTTCTTGGTACGCTTATTTGCGTGATTTGTTATCACCAGATTTTTATCCTTGGGGGATGTCTCGAAAGTAGAAAGTATGAGAGTCAGTCTGCTAAACTTGAAGGGTTCTTGCACTCAGAAAACACATTTTTCAGTGTGATTGGATGAAAATTATTATTTTATAGAATACAATGTTTGTGCATGTTTTATCTAGTGTTCAGTTACATTGAAGCACTGTGCATTCATTGTCTGAAGGGGAGTAACAAGACTATACCAGCTATGTTGATGTATTAGAGTTCGTGACCCATATTCTTAGGACTTATTAAAGATCTCAAATTTTAACAGTTAATTGATTGTTGTATTGTGCATCTTTTGAGCTACAATCATGTGAATTGTCCTTGGTAATTCTTTTATAAAAATTTTTAAGGTTTTTTTAAAAATTTCTTCTTACTAATTTGTTTTATTTAAAAAAAACAACATGAATTTAAATATTCTAATTCTAGATCAATAGTTATCTTATTATTAAGAGAATGTACTCCAGTAATTTTAACAATGTAGCTTAAACAGTTTTTTCATTTTGGGGGCAAATGTAGTGAAAAATGTAATTTTGCATAAAAGGGCTTTAAAGTTACAAATAACTGAATTGCACATTTAATAACTCGATCATTTAGTATAATCCGTTGCTTAGCGCATCTAAGCCAGCTATATTACTATTTACAGTGTTTTCGTGTTCAGAGAAAGATTCTTTGCTTCCTCTTAACTTAGAACTAGAAGCATTTGGGTGTGTATCTGCCTTTCAATGTTGGGACTTCCATTCAGCCTTCACTGTACTAGATGATAAACTCACATTGTTGCTAATATTACTATTATTTGTAAAACTGTTACCACCAAACTTCCTGCCTTCTAAATAGCCCTTCGGGTTTAGTCATATTTGCTCACATCAATTTTCTCACCACAACATGGAACAAGAGCAAAAAATAACTCCATACTCCAATAAACATTCCAGAAAAGAACTAATGCCACTTAAACAGACCTGACAGTGTCTCCAATGTCATTCAAATGTCCTAAACACCTATATTGGTTAGTTTCAAAGTTATACCATTTTGAACGAACAGCTGTAAACATGGAGGGCTATGTGACAGCTGCAGACCTAGCAACAATAGCATAAAACACACAGTGTGATTTTGACTAATCAGGATATATCATTTTATTCAGAAAATATTAAATTAATGAATCTGAAAAATAAAAATTTATTTCATTTATTTAAAACAGGCAATTGCTTAATGTTACATATCATTTTACTATTATTATTATTATTATTATTATTATTATTATTATTATTATTACTATTATATATAAAACTTATACATATTATCATGTCCAACAAAATTTGTTTAATATTGTATTTTTCACTTTCAATGTGAAGTTATTTTTGGATATATCAAGATCTGTAGCGATTGAATTTGCTACTGTGTACGTTCTCAGTAAAGGGGCATGAAAATATGTATTTGTTTTTGGTAACAGAATTTAAAATGAATATCTTTTAATTGTAGATTTCAAACTAGTATTTTCCATGAGATTTGGGATAGATCAGGACAGACAATATTGTTTTTCAATAAATCATATAAAAATAATATATTTATCGTTGTGGCTATTTTACTATAATCATGAGATAAGCGAGGTGATAAGCGATGGTAATTTAAGTTTCAAAGCTGCAAATAAAAAAAATGAATTGTACTGTTTCTAATTTATTGCTATGAACATCATTTAAGAGGCCATTCAGGCGAAGCATCTAGAGTACTTAAGATTAAATTGTGTAATACAATGTATTAATTGTATCATTTTTGTAAAATTTGTAGTTGATCTTCAGAGAAAACCAAGCATTCTATTTATTTTTGCAACATTGAAATCCATATGTTACTTGACTTTTAGTTTTTGGTAAAAAATCACACCCATCTTTAATTTTCATGACTTCCTAATTCTTGCCTAAGGCGGATATAATTCTGTTTCTAGATTTCGTGTATCTCATGATTTTACATTTTTGAATATTCAAGACAAGTTTATTGTTTTTACACCATTGAAGCAAAGCATTCAGATTTTCTTCAAGAAATCGTCTTTAGATTTTATTTCTAAAAATATTTTAATTTTGTTCGCAAAAAGTCCTGAAATGGTCCTAAATGTGAACTTTGTGGAACTCATGATGTTACATTTTCATTTGAGATAAAACTTTTATATTTCACCTTTTGAATTCTACCAATGAGATCCATTTCAACAATAATCTATGGATTCCAGTATATTCAAGTTTCTTTAACAAATTTCATGGTTAACAGTAAACGCTTTTACAAAATATGTATATATCATATCAGTTTGTGAATTTGACTCAAAATTTTTAAGAATATAATTTTCTAATACCAATATTGTTGTTTTCTTTTTGAAACTATGTTGTTCATTTAGTAATATTGAATTTAGTTTTGATTACAATATGTGTGTTATTAAAGTTTAGAATATTTTTGGAATTACTCTCAATTTTGAGATTGGACTATAATTATCAATTCTTGATCTGTCATTTGAATTAAAAATTGGTGTAATATAACTTCTCCATATTTTTGGAAATACTCCTTCCTCAAATGATTGATTTGAAAATGTTTCAGTTATTTGTTTTGTTATTCCTCTTCAGAATTTGGCAATACATTTTTCGGAGTGTAGTTCAGGCCCAAAGGCAACAGGGATAAGTGAGATGTGAATGGGTGGTGGGAACGGGCGCCGAGGATGGGTGGTGAGAATGGACTGAGGATGGGCTTCCAGGTGTCTTTATAAAAGTTAGACTCTCCTCGCACATCCTTCACAGGTGGTAAATTTGGGTATTTTTAACAATTATATGAGAAATATAAGTGTTAAAAAAAAGGCTTTATTTAGAATTTTCTCATAATTCAATGGTTCATTCTGTAACATTTGTCTTCAAATGATCCAAAATAGCAACTTCAGGAATTACATTTTTAATGACAATCAACATTTTATGTGTATAAATGACAGAAAGTGTCTTTAATCTTATTTGTGTGTGTGTAAATAAAAACCTTAAGGAGAAATTGTAAAATTTTGTAAATACCTCTTTGTTTGTTACTGTACGTTCACAGTATTAAAAAACAACTAATAACTACCAATAGGCATTGGCAACATTCAAGAAATACCAACAATACTGAAATAATACTCACTATGCTCACTTCAGTGCAGCCAGTGTGGAGTCTATGAAAATGTGTATATATAGAAATTTTACAAGAATAGATCTGTAAACTCAAATGTGTGCAGAAATTGAAAGAGAACTATGCAGCCTCTGGTTATGTGAGAGGTGTCTTCTGGTATATATTTTAGACACACAGGAATACGGTGGGAAATCCACAAACAATGAAACGGTTCCTATTTTGATTGCTAAATATGCCTATTTTGACTGCATATATTTGATTTTATTGTGCCCATTCTTCTATTGCATTTACCAACTGAATTCTCGTACTCATTGCAACATTGCTTATGATATAGCTGAATTTGTGCGACTTACGAAAGAAGCCACCACCACTAAATATTTGCCATTCACATGTGATAGGAAGAGCAGTTTTTAATACTTTCCTTGGATGTTAAGAACCATGACACTGTGTATCTGTGTTTATAATATACACTATTGCAGTATTACAGTGAAGTCTATATTTGTAAAAATATTTAATTTATTGCTGCATTTTACAAGAGATCTTGGTTCATGAGCAGTGTGCATGCTACATTTTGGAATATCATTTTGTGTGGTTTTGTTCAGTAACATTTTTGTTGTTGAAGTCCATTATTAATTACTATAATTGAATCACAAATTTCACATTGAGTATGAATGATTGATTATCTGTTCTCAGAGTTGTCTGCCAAGTTAGCTTCTTTGATGAAAACCATGCAGTATGCTGTTACTTTTTGATAGCTCAGGAAATTTGATCTGCCATTTACACATGTGTTTTATTCAACTCAAATTTTAGTTATTGCTCCTAAGAGAGCTTGGGCGTAAAATTTTAAAATAATTGTAGAGAAATTAATTGTAATTATGGATGCGGGTGGTTATGTTTTTAATTTAATTTGATTTGATTTGTAATGTTTGTGAAAATTTTCTTTCATTTCTTGATGTAGAGATACTGAGAAAAAACGGATTTCGCATTTTTCAAAATGTTTCAAAACACAATGTACTTTTTGTTCTGTTTTAGACTTGTTTAACTTTCATAATGTTTTGTTGTTTCCGTATGTTACTTTCTTCTTTAGATACTTTTTTCACATTTTATTTTTTTATTGCAGCTTATTGCATTGTCATATTGATATTTAAATGGCATAATTCATGAAGATCATTGTTGATTTGACTCTTGGGAAGCTATCATGCAGCTTTTTGCAATCTTTCCTTATCTGCAATGTGTTGTCCTTGAGAAGCATTCTATCAGACTGTTACACAAGGTTATGCTTTGCAGGAGGGCAAAGGTTATTGTGTTGTAATTAGCAGTACCTTTTCTGGTTCCAATATTCAGTGGTACATTCTTTTCAGACTTGTTATAAGCCAATTGTGGTTTTCTTCCAAATAATAATTGAAAAGCATTTTTTTAATCCTTTAATTAAAAATGTTTTCTGTTATTAACTCGTGTGCAATAACAATAATAATAATAATAATAATAATAATAATAATAATTATTATTATTATTATTATTATTATTATTATTATTATAGTTTCCTGTCTCACATAGTGTTTTTATACATTTCTAAAACTAATTATTCAGGGGATATTGTGTTATCAGTAATGCTTGAAAAATGATTTTTTCAATTGCAGAAGATGTTTTCAAAATTTTAACAATAGAATTTCCTGCTATTTAATGTACAAGCAAAAGATAAGAACTATATATGCATGCAAGCTCAGAAGAAATGTAAAATGCATTTTCTAATTTGTTTCTAAATATTAACATTACTTATATTATTGTATTCCTCTCTTTGAGAACATAAGAATGCATTAGGAGAAAATATATACTTTTATTTATAAAATCTAAGTTGTAAATGAATCTCTAAAGTTCAAAATATTAAGAGTATCTTCCAGAAAACAATATCTTGTTTTTCCCATCATCCACACAACCTAATGCAAACAGAAAACTTATCTCAAACACAATATAATTGAATTTCAAACTAAGTAGAAACCTGGTATTTCAAACTAATTGAGGGTGTGCTCTGTTCGGATGTGGAAATGTTCAGATTATCCGAAAAAAGGACCGTACATATACAAAAACATCTTTAGGGTTACCGGACACAATGCAATGTAGCATGCAAGGTTAGAAAATGGCAATGTAGCATAGGGATTGCATCATCAAGCAGGTTCAGTTCCATACAGCATAAGATTACTGCTACATAAACACATGATATGCATCGTAGTTACCTCCTAGTAGCTCACTCCAACAGTAATTATAAATTTTGTTTTTACACTGCAAATGAGCCTTGTATTAATTTTGTTTATTTTTCTCCATCCTGAATTGTGTTCGGATTATTTGAAATTTCGGATTAAAGGGGTTCTCTGTTCTTTCAAAGGATTTTTTTCTGTGGTGATGTTAGGTACCTCATTCATGGTAATTACACTTTTCAATTTTTAATTGCATTCTTTTCAGCATCCCACTAGTATTTTTGTTATTTTAGTTATTTAATTGAAAGAAATTTATTTGTGCACATTAACTGTCATTGGCCACATTCTTTTATGTTTCTAGAGCATGCATACTGATGAATAAAAGTTTCATACTCCTCTCCCATTGCCTTTTATTACATCTTTGAATTTCAAACAATTATTTTTGAATTACAAATGGGAGTCTGATATGTTTTTGGAAAAAAATTATAAGCTTTTTTATATTTTATTTCAGGTATGGTCCATGGTGCTGGTTTGCCAACACTTACCACACAAAATCGTATGCAGTTTGCTCAGAATTCTACACAGCAACAAACTCAACCACCTCAAACGCAGCAACAGACATCACAGCAGCAACAACAGCAGCCACAACAGCAACAAAATATGCTTGTTGGACCATCTGGCCCAAGTCCAAACAGCAGTGCAGGCACACCTCAAGGCGCTGGAGGTCTTGTTACTGTGTCAGGTGCTGGTCTCTCTCCATTTGGTCAAGGCCCTGGGTCTGCAGCCTCGTCAACCACCAGTGCAGCTCCTACTGCCACTAGTCAGTTCAATAATGGTCTTGCAAGTAGTCCTGCTGGACAGTTCCCTGAGCGCCAACAACAGCAGCAGCAGCAACAGCAGCAGCAGCAGCAACAACAACAACAACAACAACAACAACAACAACAACAACAACAACAACAGCAACAGCAGCAGCAACAGCAGCAGCAGCAGCAGCAACAGCAGCAACAGCAGCAACAGCAGCAACAGCAACAGTTAATAAAGGCTCAGATGGCTGCAGTTGCAGCAGCAAATTCCAATGCTGGGCAAACTGCTCCTGCTCAGCAACCTGCGACAACCCAGTTCACTAATTTGCAGTCTCAATTCGCCACAGCTGCAGCTGCTACAACCAGAGTACCTTCTCTTCCACCTTCTTCCACACCCACCTCCATGGATGTTTCTACTGGTCCACAGGTGGCCACAGTCACAACTCCTGGTGGTCCATCTCCTGGTCTTGCTCCTTTGGCAGGTACTAATAATAATATTCCTCAGCAGCCCACATCGACTGCTTCTGCACTAGTTCCTCCTGGTTTGCTGCAGCCACAGCAAACGCAACAGTCCCTGCAGTTGGCATCCTCCACTCCTACTCCTGTCAGTGGTACACCTACTCCAGTACAAACCAGTGCTGTCCCACCAACATCTTTGCAAATCGTTACAGCATCCTCAAATTCCATGTCAAATGCTACAACAACTTCAACAGCAGCCATGAGCCACCAACAGCATTTAGCTAGCCTTGGCAAGGGAATGTCTAGTGCGGAGCGGGCAAGTTTAGTTCAGACCAATAAATCTAGTACAATGTCCAGCCAGATGGCAGCAATTACAGCAGCCTTGAATCAGGTATGTCAGTTTCATGTTGGTATGTTGTTGATGACTCCCTTTGAGACGTTAGCTTAATTGTGTATATTTTTCAGGATGATGATTCACCTCCTCCAACTACCAAAGGAAAACTTGATAATATTCCAAATGAATCAGAGAATGGTTCAATGAAAATAGAAATAAAACAAGAACCTGATGTAGATATGAATCATAGACATGATGGTGGTGGGGGTGGGAAAGTAATGAACACTGAGAATATTAAAACAGAACCCAAAACAGAACCAATGGATGAATGCAGTGCAACAACAGAAAACTCTGTAGCTATTAAGGGTAATGTAATTTTTGTTGTTGTTTTTATTCATAGGTATTTTAATCAAAACAAAATTGCTTGATTTCTCTTCACATACACCTGCTGATTGATATTTTTTATTCTGTAAGGTGATAATGGTGTCCTTTCAATTTCTTTGAATTATAAAAGAATGTTTAATTTCTTTCCAGAAGAACATGCCATCAAAGAGGAGCCAATGACGCCAATGTCTGCTTCTAGTATGGGTGAAAATGCTACCCCTGATATTAAACCACCAGTACCTGAGCCCATTCAAGGTGGTGGAACACCAAGTGGTACGGAAAAGAAGAAGAAATGCTGTGAGTCCATTACTGTGTAACTTTTTGCAAACACACACATCTGTTTTTTGATAGGGAAATGTTTGTAGATTGTGGATGGGGATATATACAGTGTTAAAATAAAAAATGTGTATACAATTTCTTCTTAAGGAATTCTTTCTATGTGCAGTGTTCAAGCCTGATGAACTTCGCCAAGCACTTATGCCTACATTAGAGAAATTATATCGTCAGGATCCTGAGTCATTGCCATTTCGACAACCTGTTGATCCTCAGGCCCTTGGAATACCTGATTATTTTGATATTGTGAAAAAGGCAATGGACCTTTCAACTGTGAAACGAAAACTGGATACTGGTCAATATTCCGACCCATGGGAATATGTAGATGATGTATGGCTGATGTTTGACAATGCTTGGCTCTATAATCGTAAAACATCACGTGTCTACAGATATTGCACTAAGGTAGTATTGTATTTATCATTCTTCACTGAAATTGTGATAAAAAAAATATTTTTCCTCTATTATTTAACTGTCCTTATGGAGATGCATTATCGTCAATGAAATGGGTTTTTGTTAACAGCTCTCTGAAGTATTTGAGCAAGAAATAGATCCAGTGATGCAGTCCTTGGGTTATTGTTGTGGTAGAAAGTATACCTTCAACCCTCAAGTATTGTGTTGCTATGGGAAGCAGTTGTGTACTATTCCTCGTGATGCAAAGTACTACAGTTACCAGAATAGGTGAGCAATATTAAATGCATGAAACTGCGTCTTGGCCAATGTGCAAGATTTGCAATTGTCATTGAATTTGAACTGCTAGCATCAAAAATGTTTGTGAATTGTTTCGGGAATGTTGTTTTGCTATCCATTCAAGTTTTCCTTGAATTCATTTTGTATCCCATGGTGAAAATTCAGAAGAAAAATGTAAATTTTGGAAAAATTCTTTGGTACATGTTAGCCTACACATGGATATTGTACTGTTGATTATGAAACCTCCCAATTAGTTCACCTTTTTCTCCCTTTAAATGCCAAAAATTGAAGTAATTTTTTGTTCATTTTGAAAGTTGTTGGTCATTTAATTTGAAGATGATAATTACTGGGACACTAATTCCGTATCATCATATTTGCATGATGTTAATTAACACCAAATGATACTATTGAATCTAAACGGCCAGCTTGCTAAAACTTTGTTATGCAATCATTTCTCCTTAGTCATCTTTTGAAAATCTTTGCTTTATTCTAGTAATTTTTTTAAAAGTGCTATGTTAAAATTGTGTGTTCTGATCCATAAAAAATCATTCTCAATTAGTTGGTTCAGAATACATTCAAATTATTACAATGATGAAAGGAAAAGGCAACTGAGTAATTTTAAAATGCTTATCTTCTTATGAGAGTGATATGTTTTTTTAACTTGTTTGTAAAGACATCAATGTGGGAAGTTGTTGTATATATTGTTTTCGATTGGCTGGGATGTGCTTAACCTTTGCCATGATTCTTTGTAACCTTTTCTGAATTAAAAAAGTATATGCTGTGTGATAGATACTGTGAGATTGTGGAAAAACAACAATGCATTTTAAATCTTTGGAATGGCTTGACAATAATTGTAGTAATCTAATGACAATGGCGGGAATAGCTGCGTTAATTTGGAATGAAGTATTTTTGCTCTGGAAACCGTAGGCGGAAAATACTAAAAAGTAATATAGTAAAATCTCACTTACGTTTTTCAGGGGACTGAAGGGGGAGGGGAATGGAAGTGAGAAAAACGCATAACTGAAATTGAATATTGGTACAAAATCTTGGTACTTTTGCATTGGTGTCCTCCACCAATGTTAGTTTTGATGATATTTAGTCAAAGAACAGGAAAAACAAGTGTGACACATATGGGGGAGAAATAACATTTCGCATGTTTCCTTGAGCTCGAGAACTTCTTCCCAACATTTAAACTATAAGTAGTTAAATGCAGAATGCAAGTTTCAAAAGAACCAAAAATTAGCAACTTTTGATAATTAGACGTTTTTAGTTACCAAGTTCTAGAAAACGTGTTTGCATCAAGTAAACAAACTGCAGATTTTATTTCATTTTTGTATTGCTAACAAAATAGTAACACATACACACACCACCACCACCAAAACCAGACTATTCCTACCAATACTAGCAAGAGATGAAACTACGTTTATGTCCAGAAGCAACACAAGGGGCCATCTCAGATGTGCTTAGTGGATCATGGAAATTGGACAAAAACCTGACGGAGACTGGAAGCTGAAGTGCATTACTTGTTACTTAGGAAACATGAAGACCAGATCTAGGTACACCCGGTGGAAAAGATACCAGTGATATTTGCACTTCATTCAGCTAGTCCTTTAGGTATATGTCTCAGGAGCATTGCGTTGACTCCCGTCACCTAACGCTGATGATGTCAGCTGCGTGGATGTCTGCGCACATGAGTATCTTAACCTGTGTCGTAAATTAACACTGTCTTATGGCACACAAGCAATTACGGTGACATATATGTTATGATGGCAAGCTACAACACAAGTCTTCATAACGCATGTTTTCTAGCTGTCAACGTGCGACGACCATTAGGCGACGCACGTTGGCGAGAGAGCTCATGTGCCGTTTTGCATAAGATACAATGTTAATCAGCAATGCGTGTTATGTGAAGTCAAATTGTTATTATAAGTTTTTGATTTCCTTGAGTTTCAATATTTGCTTCAAATGCGCTGAATTTTAACATGCAATGTTGGTTGACATTATGCCGCGCCACACCGGATGACACTAACCCCACTATTTCTCCTTCTGGTAATTTTGTCAAAAATGGGGAGTTGAAACGCTGTGCATAGAAGTAAAATTAGAGAACAAGCATACTGAATTCAACACAAAAATTCTTTGGGGTTCCTCTGTGATAAATGTAAATGTTCTCACTTATTGGTCACCTATGTTGTTTGGGTTATATAGGGTCTTAAAATGACTTTTATTATGGACGTAGAAGTATAAAAAAAGTATTAACATAAAATTCATATCTGAAATAATTAGGAAGGGTAGTATAGGACTTAAAAAGAGACATAGAAAACTATGTATATATCTGAAAAACCTATAAGTGCGAAACGTATATACAGTTTCACTGTGTTTGTTATTATTGGTCAGCCACATTTCATATTCTGCAAGTTCTTGAGAATTTCTGTTTGCTCAGGGTCTCCAAAAAGAGTTTGGAATGTTGTAGGATTGCAGCATCCTTTGATCAAATGATGCAGAGGGAATATTTAACACAATTGTTTTTATATGATTACTCCTTTTCAAGGAGCAGAATTGCAAGGAAAAGATCTGTATCATACTGTTCATGTACCTCATTAAAATTTCAAAGAGGGTATGCGTATTGTTAATCCATAAAGTACATCTATTTTATGACAGCACATTGACTATTTAAAGCAACCTTTCCACCTCTTGTACGAGTTGATTTGCACACATCTATTGATCACTTACAGAAAGAGATCTGTCAAATTCTACTACAATATTTCTTATGTGCCTGCCAGTTACAGTATTTTAGTTCCTAAACATTCTTCAAGACCTCTTTTGTGATTATTATTTTGGAGATATGTTCTAGGTCAATTTCTATTTGCCCTTCACCTTCAGGTTTTTCTGCAGATGCTACTGTCTAGTATCAGAAACTTGATGCCATTATGTAATATCACAAAATGTTAGGTTGTCGTGTACATATATTTTTTATTCAACTTATTCATTTTCTTGAATAGAAAGTGTGGAGGAAGCCCCTCCCGTTCCCTTCTCCCGCTTGCCTCCCCTCCTCCTCCCGCTTGCCTCCCCTCCTCCTCCCGCTTGCCTCCTCTCCTCCTCCCGCTTGCCTCCCCTCCTCCTCCCGCTTCCATCCCCTTGCCTCCCTCCTCAACCCCCAATATCCTCTAGCTCCACTTTTCAACTTTTGAGGCCACTGTGAATTCCACTGACCTATCAGTTTTTGTGCCCACAGTTCTTTTACCTGTGATATTGTAAAAACTTTTGAGATTACTAGAAACTTCATAACATAATATTTGAAGCAGGTGTGTCCAGAAAATGAATGACTTTAAATTATAAAATATCTCTCTAACTTAAATATGATCATGCAAATTATTAAAGCCAATGCAAGTATCAAATTCTTGAAAATTCAAAAGTTTTGATAAAAAAAATGACACTTTTACAAAAGAATTCTGTGTATGTGCCCCTATCCCAAACGTTTGAAGTAAAAAGTTGATTTTTGCCTAAAGTCTTTTTAGGTATTTTGTATTTTTAGGTATTAGGTACATGTCAAGATTTCTTTCAAAACTACACAAAAGCTGTGTATAATGTGAAAAAATTGTGCATGACTTTAATTACTAGTGATAGCTGATGATGCTGAGATTTTGACAAAAATGAATGTTGGATCCCTGACATTGACAAATTATAATTTTTCTCAAAACTTCATGTCAGTCTGTGAATAACACAAATGAATTTTCACCAAAAGAAGAATTTACACCAAAATTGATATTCCTTCAATTTTCAACAAATTCAATCTGGCTGATGTTACTGTCTCTCAAATTTGAAATGAATCTTATAATTTTAAGAACTACGATTAAGTAACTTTAGATGTAACTTGATTTTAAAATTTTTGAAAAATGCTCCAATTTTATTCATATTTTGTTTACTTATAAAAAAGCCACTGGTCTGATTTTCAGTAAAACCACTGAATTTTTTAAAATTGCAAAAGTTACAATTTGTTTTTTCCCCTCCTTGATCTACATTATTGAAATTATTATTATTATTATTATTATTATTATTATTATTATTATTATTATTATTATTATTATTAATGATGATGATGATGATGAAGTCTGTTCTTTGAAATTATCTGTTTAAATTTTGTCTTGTACACTGTGTTTCAAGGTAATAGTTTTTGTGTAATTTTGAGTAAAATTTGTGATTATTAAAAATTTCTCAAGAAGATTTTCAGTCAAATTGTTGAATTTTCAAGAAATGCACATTTTCAAAATTTGTTCAACTATCATAAAATATTATTTAAGAGAGATTTCTTATATAATGGAATCTATTCCTCAATATAAGATCTATGTTATTTCATGTGCCCTTGTTTCAAAATATTATTGTTTCTTTGTGAGTAATTTTGAATTATTAGCACTATTTTCCTTTTCCCTGACACTGATCTTGGTGAAGCAGGAAATCTCTCTCCAAACCTTGGCAGAAGGTGGATTCTTCAAGATTTTTATCTTCTTCTGTAAGAGAGGCAATATCAGGCAGGTAATATTAATGCGTCAGTAAATACAAACATCCAAGAGAAAATTAGATTATACCATTCGAGGAACTTGGATTTCTATCATTGATGCTGACAAGCATTCTTCTGTTACATGGAGTTGTATTTTATGATTGAGTAAGATCTTTCATCATTTTTGAGTACAGTTCTCCAAACATTTTGTACTTCAGTGCTGGTGATTAACACTTATTAGAATGGAAAGAATAGCAGTACTTTCACTGATACTATTCAATGATTTAAAAAAATAAATTCAATCCACACTTGTCGAGCCAACATGACCAGTGAAACAAATTCATAATCATTATGTTGAAATTTTTAATTTTTTATTTTTAAATATTGAAACATAGGAAATTATTTTGACTTCATACGACACAAAATTATGACTCCAAACTTAATTTTATTCTAGACCAAATAATTGCCATTTTATGCAAAATAAATGTCTTTATAT